TTTTATAGTACTTAGTAGGTCGAATCCCTGGAGTGGGGGGATAAGGATACCAAAGATGGAGCAATACCAAGTATAAGAGAGGAAGTAAACAGAATTAACAAAAGGAACACTGAAGTAGAGAACAATGGGGGAAGTAAAGGTGAGAGTCTGGGAAAAAGAGTAAGTGAATAGAAATCATCCAAGGTAAATATCAGATATATCTAAAAAAAATCTGTAGGGGTCAGTGCACTAGGCCTGAACATAATAGGTGAATATTGGATTTACTAATTCTTAATTAGGCAATTTTTAGTAATACTGAGTCTACCACTTGGTTAAGTGTGTATGACTTTAAGGATACTTAAATTATTCAGAGTGCATTTATTTAAGCTCTTATCTCAAAAGTTTGCATCTCAGATGTATTAAATTTAAGAAGATAGAATGCCTTCTCTTATTGAGCTTTCATAGAAATTGCTTGAAGTACAAAATAGTAACACTCAAATGAGTGGTAAACCAAGTTTTAAAATTTGTAATTGTAATGTGTTTGTTTGGATTAAGAAAAAAATGTTGGTGATAATTTAATGAAAGTGTCACAGACCACTTAGAAAATTATAAAACTGTAACATCTGACCTTAAAATGTGCAAAGTCTGGCTTTTTGGCAGTTTTTATAGGAGAAAATGTTGCTTACTACTGAAATGTATTCGTCTATAGATATTTTAGATGCACCTTTTTATTGTTTTGAGATACATGACAGTAGGGTGTATTTTGACATATTACAAGGAGTGCAACCTATTCCAATTAGGATCCCATTCTTGTGGTTGTACATGATGTGGAGTTATACTGGCTGCATATTCATATTTGAGCATAGGAGAGTTATGTCTGATTCATTCCACTGTCTTCCTATTCCCCCCATTTCCACTCCCTTCCCTTCATTATCCTTTGTTTAGTCCAATGAACTTTATACTTCTCCTTCTTACCCTCCCTTGTTATGGATTAGAATCCATATATCAGAGAGAACATTTGGCCTTTGGTTACTTGGGATTGGCGTATTTCATTAGTATGATATTCTCCAGTTCCATTCATTCACTGGCAAATGCCACAATTTCATTCTTCTTTATGGCTGAGTAATATTCCATTGTGTGTATATACCATATGTTATTTATCCATTTAGATGCACCTTTAAGTGTCTTTATATTCATTATTTTTAATGGAGAGAAGGATTAACAAGTTTTGAAAAAATTATTTGGCTACTAATGTGGAACATTGCAGAGATCAGAATGCATTCTACATTTCTTCTCTAACCTTTTGTAAAACATAAGAATTCATGTTGTTCTCATTTTTTGGTGACTAAGATGTTTAAAATTGGTATTTTCAGAAATATTAAAATTTTTACCAGTTTTTGCATATTATACAAATGTAAGAGCCAGTTGAATAGTACGTTAAAACTTTCTAGTTGATGCTGTTTAAGTGATTTTCTTAAATGCTTTCTCACTTATCTGCCTAGATTACTTTTTTTTTTTTTTTTTTTTTGTGGTGCTAGGGCCTTGTGTGTGGGAGTCACTCTACCAACTAAGCTATATACCCAACTCCCTAGATTACTTCTTGTTAATAAAGTTCAGTCAGCCATCCAGCTGGAGCTTTAAGGAAAATAAGTAATACAAAGACCTGTATTTGCTAAATGAATGTTGAACATGATTTATTAGACAATTAGTTTACGAGAAGAAGTTTGAGTGGGAATAAGAATTTATGAAATGACATTTCTGCTCCAATGCTAAGTATTCTGATACTAAGTGAACTTCATATTTAGACTTGGAATTTAAGAAATTTTAGTTTTGCTAGCAATCATAGAAAAGTTGAAGTTTTTGTTCTCAAAGATTTTTTCCCCCACAAATTAGACTTTTTCACTGTCTTAAGCCACTTAATCAGCTGCTGAGTATCTGAATTTCCTGGAGCCTCCTGAGGACAAGGAAGTGAATTCATACATTTCTAAACAACAGAATAGAATTTACAGGGCTAAGGTTTATATAGTCCAAACCCAAAATTGTAACATATCAAAAATTTGGATGGGGAATTGCAGTTTAAGCTATCTTTAAAAGTTTTATTTGCAGCAGGTCAGAAGCAGTCAATTTGACAAAATGTTGTAATAAACTTATTGTGTATTTGTATTCATTCTTGGAGTCCTTGGCAACTTTCAGTGCTCCATTTAAAATACATTTGATCAAACTCAACTAATTCTTAAATGAACACAGGGGAAAAAAAGAACACAGTAGTCAGTATATTGAATACATATAATGTTTTAGAGCTTAATTCTACATAAAGTGTTCACTGTAAAGTGATCGTGAAAAGCAATTCCTGTAACAAAATAATGTACTACAATAACTAATCTTCCTGTGTTTCCTCTTGACCAGGTAAAGATGACCTGTTTTGCACACTTTTGTCACTTAGCTGAGTTATCTTCTACGGTATCTGCTTGTGTCCTATTCTGCTTTTCTGAAACGTGTCCTAAGCAATCCCACTCCCAAAGCTGAAACATGCACGAATGAATGAATCTATTGAATAAATACTTACTTGTCCAGCACCTAGGCACTGAGGGTACAGTGGTGAACAATATAAGATCACTGCTCTCCTGGTATTTACATACTAGGAAGGGGAGACAAAGAGATTTTTTAAAAATACCCAAGATAATCTTAGGTGTGATAAATGCTTTTAAGGAAGCTAACAGGTTTGGAATGGATTAATTGGCGGTGGTGGCTGTTGTCGCTGAGACTGCAGCACCAATAGCTACTGTCCTCACAACCCAAAGTAGAGAAGAGCCAGGATTGTGCTGGGGGATAGAGAACATTCCAGCAAGCAAAGAAGAAACAGCTTTGTGAGAATAAGCCAATGAGACTAGACTGTAGGGAATGAAAAGAGAATGAGGTAGGAGAAGGGAGCAGAAGTCAGATCAGCTAGACCTTGGATAGTCAAGACACCTCCATATTTCTCGGCATTAAGCTGAGAGTGAGACATGCATGGTATGCTACAGGGGCCAAGAGTAGAAGTAGAAGTAGGGAGCCCTGATTAGAGACTTGTGTAGTGATTCAAATGTGAGATCATGAGAGGTGGTGGTGAGGAGGAAAGATGTACATGTATCAGACCTAGGATTTAGTACTGGATGTGAGAACAAGGGGGAAAAGGAGGATTTTTGGCTTAAGTCTTACATGGAGAATCCTTGAGGTAGAAAATGAAAGGGTTGATGTTGAACATGTTAACCTGAGATGCCTATTAGACATCTTAAGAAAGATGTCAAACAGATAGTTGGATAAATCATGTTGAACCCTAAACGTTAGGGATAGCAGTTTGGAATCATCTGTACAACATAAAGGTTTCTTTTAAAGCCTTGAAACTAGCAATCACAGGAAAAGAGAAAAGAAAGACACTTCAGTCTGTACTTTTGGGAGGTAGGTAGTCCAATTTTGGTCAATCAATCCATGGCTGAGTAATGACAGCAGTAGTCTGAATATTAATGCTTTGTTCATCCATAATTAGAAATTCTTCTCTAAGAATAGTTTTTTAAACCTGATTTATTGATTAAAGTAGATGAAGGATTATCCAGTTATCACCTTGCCATACTTCCCTTCTAAAATAACATTTTGACATTGATTGGCTCTAAATATAATGAGGTTTATGGATAGGCAATAAATTCTTGACAACTCTCTGATCTACTGAGAATTGTCAACTATGTATTTTCACAGTAGTCAAATGTTTCTTTAGCTCCTTTTTTGAGGAACATATGTTATCCTTAGATTGTAAAATGAGGACCAAACTATTTTAATACTCTTAGTATTTGTAGGCAAAAGACTGGAAACACAGGTAACAAAGTATTAACACAAATTATCCCAGAGTAATAAGGTTATTTTAAAATTTTCTTTATGCATCCTCCATATTGTTAGTGTTATGTTTATAACTTTAAAAAAGTAAAATGAAAGGGGGACAAGATGGCACACAGGAGGCTGAGGCAGTAAGATCACAAGTGTGAGACCAGCCTAGGCAAGTTGCTGAGACCCTGTCCAGAACAGGAAGGACTGGGATTTGGCATAGTGTTTATCTGGCATGCATAAGGCCCAGGGTTCAATCCCTGACAATCCCTCTCCCTCCTCAAAAAGGAAAAGAAAACAAATACTCATTAAGATTATTGTTTAAAATTTGCTTTTACCTTATATGTTATTTAGTAAATAGTATAGTGATTTAAAATAAAATAAAACACTTAAGATTTTATATTGGATAAGTACTTGAAAAGTTGATTCTGTACCATAAAGAGAGTTATAAAGGAATTTGGAAGAGGGAAGAAAAATAACATGCTTTTGAATTCTACTAGCATTCACTCCAACGTACAGATTTTCTACTTGATTAAAATGGATGTTCATTGAGGATATTTCTGAGCTTCTCTCAACATTTTACTCTGTGGATTATTTAGAAGACATATACTTTAAAAAGAAACTATTAATGGTAAGATAGTTATACAGTACTACTCCAACCAATTAGGAAAAATAAATGTTGAAGGATATGTGACTATAAATTAAAAAGTCCTTTCTCAGGGGGCTAATCAACTCTTTGTGTAAATTGTGTAGGGTAAATTTCAAATACAGTTTGTAAGTCTGAACACAAGAATAGTAAATCCAAGTGGAATAAAGGTCATCCTAAGTGCCTCTAACAATATTAGTTTGTCTTTGGTCTTCAGGTAATATAGTAAAAAGAAACTATAGGTAATATAGTAAAAAGAAACACTCAAACAAAAAAACCCGTTAAACTTTAAAACTTGCAGTTTTGAGATCCTGTTTAAACTTAATGCTATATTTGATATTCAGACTAAATTAAGCTTGTCTGAAATCAGACTTTCTAGTTCAATTTGACCTTGTAGGTTTCACAGATAGTCATTAAAATATACCTATAAGAAAATTCTATATAGGTCTTTTAAAAGATATAATATTATAACATCATATATAATAAATAGTAAAACAACATTTCTTATATTTTGATACAGCTTGCATTGAAAGGCTCTAGCTACAGTGGACTACTTGAACGACATCATATTCACACCAAAAATGTAGAACATATTATAGATAGTTTACGGTAAGTCTGTGGGATGGGGTCATGGGTGGGCTTTTATGTTTAAGACTTGGAATTTTTTATTTTGTACTAGTAGCTAATCCTTAAATTTTTAGTAAAAATTGTCATGATAAAATAATTTTTTAGAATATTATGTTGAGATTAATGGACCTGATTTTATAGCTTTCTGAAAGGAAATTTTTATTGTACTCTGAAAATTTCATAGGTATTTTCAGTTATTTGGTCTGCCACAGAAGTGCCTTTAATGCAAAGAGTTAATTCAGTATACAGCAGGCTACAATTGTATATATATATATAATGTTTTATTTCTTAAAGAAGAATTGTAGATTATATGGTATTTATTATAATATTATTTTGAGTGTTTGAAAATTATTAAGAAAGAAGTTAACCTGGGACTAATGTAGTCATTAAATGTTTATGTGTGTACTAGAGAATCAGTATGAGAACATGAAAATTGCAAAGTATTTTATTCTCTGTTTTAGTGTCTGCCACTCAGTGAAATGTGTTGAATTTCAAATAACAGCTATTAGATTTTATAAAAAATTGTCTAGTTTTAGTCTTTTGAACCATTTTTTATCAATACATTTTAGTCTCAGAAGGAGTAGAGAAAATGAGATGAAATTCTGATTGATCAGTACTGTTGTTAGTTATAAAGAATGTTTTTAAAGCACTTTGGAGACTCTGGTGATACCTTTTAGTTTATTCATTTGCCTCCTGACTTATCATAGTTAATTGGCTATTGTTATTAATTGAAAATAAATTGTATAAAGCTACACATGGATTTGCTTATGCAACATAAAATTATTTTATGTCTCTTTTGCCTCTCAGAAAACCTACCCATATTATATGTTATCAATGAAAATTTTATAAAACCTTTACTTTTTTATCTTAGGAAAGAAGGAATTGAGGTTCGTCTGGTAAAGAGGAGAGAATATGATGAAGAGACTGTTCGGTGGGCAGATGCAGTCATAGCTGCAGGAGGTAACTGTCTTATAGAAATAAAGATGTTGGATTGTGAAACGTTCTTTAATACATGTTATTTCCAAATATGTTTGCATATAGCTATTTTCAAGACTTTGGAGTCCTACCGGAAGACAAATTTTTTTTTTTTTTTKAGAGAGAGAGAGAGATTTTTTTTTTTTTAAAAAAAGAGAGTGAGAGAGGGAGATAGAGAGAATTTTAATATTTATTATTTTTTGTAGTTCTCGGCGGACATAACATCTCTGTTTCTATGTGGTGCTGAGGATCGAACCCGGGCCGCACGCATGCCAGGCGAGCGCGCTACCGCTTGAGCCACATCCCCAGCCCGAGAGAGAATTTTTTAATATTTATTTTTTAGTTTCGGTGGACACAACATCTTTATTTTATTTTTATGTGGTGCTGAAGATCGAACCCAGCGCCCCGCGTATGCTAGGCGAGTGCACTACAGCTTGAGCCATATCCCCAGTCTCCCCCCCACCCCTTTTTTTAAGGATAAGTTTTGAAACAGGCAAGTTTTATTTATTCATTTCTTTATTTTTGTGGTACTGGGGAATGAACCCAGGAATGCTCTACCACTAAGATATCCCTAGCCCTCTTTATTTCTTACTTTTGAGACAGAGTTTTGCTAAGTTGATGAGGCTGTTCTTGAAGTTGCAATCTTCCTGCCTCCTCAAGTGTCCAGAGTTGCTGGGATTATAGGTGTGTGCCACCATGCCTGAAGAAACATCTCTGTTTTATATAATATTCCATATTTATAATTAATGATCTTACGGTGAGGTTTCACATATGTATTTCTGTGTGTATGTTTAAAGTGTGCTTTTAACTTTAAATATAGTTCAGAGGATTAGTTCTAATTGTATTTTGGTTTATGCTAGTCTTTAAAAAAAGAAAAAATGAAGTTGATAGTGTAGTGAAATTAGATAAATTCTGTCTCTTTTTGGCTCCAGTATACTTACACTAATTTTTTTTCCCTGAACTGTATTATTGTTACTGACCATCCATACTAAACCTTTACATTGACAATAGTTGTTAGAAGACTCTAAAGTTGGACACTTCATGTGTTCTCACTAAAATAATTTGTGAATTTGGACTGGTGTTATAGGAGGAGGAAAGATAAATTTTGGGATTGGAGCAGTGGTTCCCAGCTGGGTAGACAGGTTGCTAAACATTCTGTATGCACAGGACAACCCAGCAGCAAAGAATTTTTCTGCTTACCATGTCAGTTTTGCCACCTTTGAAATTCAGAATTAGAGTGGTGGGGATGATAACATAGGTGGAGGAGGTAGAAAGGAAGAGGGCGAGGCTCTGGCAGTCAACATGGTAGGATGTGATTGTTAAAACAAAGGTGGTCGTTTTGAAAATGATGTAAAAAAACAGGTTGTAAAACATAGGTCTGGTTATGTCTTTTGTCACAGGTGATGGCACAATGCTTCTGGCAGCAAGTAAAGTCTTGGATAGACTGAAACCAGTTATAGGGGTAAACACTGATCCAGAACGGTAAGGAAGAACAGGTTCTTTTTGCATTTTGTTTGTGGGTTTTTTTTTTCTTTTCAAGTTATATGTACAAATAATTCTATGCTTTTTAATATAGTATGTATGAGAAATCTTAAAATTTGCAAACTATTTTTTATTTACTGTAGTCATACTGTTAGGCTCTGTTAGAGGAATTTTACTGTGGTACATGATATTTAAATAGAAGCATCAGCATTTCTGGCTACCATGAACATTAGAATCATGTTCCAAAAACAGTGATAAAAATTTGCCATGTAGAATGATTCACCGTCTTTACTAGGGTTGTCTGTTATGTGCATTTTCAAGGACAGATCTAATTATTGCTCAGACAGAGAAATACATATGCATCTCTCTGGTGTTGGTGTTAATTGTGTTATGGGATGGACTAATCCTCATATTTAGCTTTTTAGGTTGTTTGAGAGTAGGATCTGTGGTAGAATAGACCTGAACTCTTGAACAAATGTATGTTGGGACTTTTGATATGTGCTGAAGAGGGATAAGTTAATAATATTCCATCTTCTGTCCTTCCTAATTATTACATTCCTAATTATGCTGATGGTTCTGATTTACTTCAAGAGTAGACCTATCCAAACACTATTGTGTTTATTTTCTTTTCTTTTCTAGCTTCACTGGTATTTAACCTTATTTTATTCCAGTCATTCACAGCCATTACCATACCTGGACTTCATGATCATTTGGAATTTTCCCTTCTTTACAATCCACTCTGAACATAGTCTCCTACCTTAACAGCAGTTTTATTCCCTTATCCCAGTAAATCCGCCCTTTGAACGAGTGCTTAGCCTCCCTTTTTTTCTTCATTTAATTCTTCACTTTATTTACTTTCTTGACAATTTCTTAAATATTTTTATTCATTCCTACATCAGTCTGTTATATTCTTTCTACTACTATAATAGAGTTGGAAAGATATCTGGGGAAAGAGATCATAGAAACGTGGGCACTTCCAAGTTGAAGTCTTCAGGGCTTAGAACAGGATCCTTAGAGTTGACTGTACAGGCAGCCCTGGTCATCTCTCTTTCCCATTTCCTGTGGTGGCTACTTTAAGATTGGCTCCTAAGCTTTTCAATACTGCTCTTATCCCCTCCCTCCCTCCCTCCCTTCCTTCCTTCCTTCCTTCCTTCCTTCCTTCCTTCCTTCCTTCCTTCCTTCCTTCCTTCCCTCCCTCCCTCCCTCCCTCCCTCCCTCCCTCCTTCCCTCCCTCCTTCNAAGGGAGGCACTAGAGTCACTTGCCCTCTGTGATCCCTCCTTCCTTCCTTCCTTCCTTCCTTCCTTCCTTCCTTCCTTCCTTCCTTCCTTCCCTCCCTCCCTCCCTCCCTCCCTCCCTCCCTCCCTCCCTCCCTCCCTCCTTCCTTCCCTCCCTCCCTCCTTCCCTCCTTCCCTCTTTTCTCACACAAGAAATGAAACTTCCTAATTTTTCTCAGGGGGAAAAAATCTTGTTCTATGATTTGTTCCTTTTTCCCTCTCTTCTTTTGCATCTACTTTCTCTTAGCCTTAAATCTCTTAGCCAGACTTCTGTTTATACAAGAAAATTTYGCTGTTGTTTATTATCCCATCTCCTTCCCTTTAGCCCCTAGCTTTTTATCTCTGCTTCCTCACTGCCCAATTATTTCTAAACCTTTGCGTTTTTTTTTTTTTTCTTTCTGAATTTTCCCCTGACTAGTTCATTGATGATGCGTTTGCCTTACATCTCAGTGGCTTCCTAGTTACTGGGTTTACTGGACATTTTAGTCCTTTAGATTCCTGGAAAGTTTGTAGTGTTRACTGTTCATTTGCTGCATGTGTACTTCATTGGTGTTTATGATGTGCTTTCTTCTCTATGACTACTTCTTTGTGTCTTTTGAAGGATTTTACTTTTTGTTCACTGCTTAATTACTGTTATGCTCTGGGCCATTTTTTTTACTCCTTCATTCTCTATACCATCTTCTTTCTTCCATTCTCATCTTTAGTCTCTTCTTGCTTCAGCTAGCAATGATATTATGTGACTTCTGTACTCAGAGTATTATGGTGATCTTCCTTCTAACTCAGAATAGAATTTAATTCTTTGGTGAGGCTGGCTTGGCCAACTCATTCTGCTTTTCCTAGGAAGCTTCTAATTTTATTCTGAAAGTGCTGTATCCCAGGAAATTGTCAGTCCCAGGCAAACTGGGGGACAGTTGATCACAGTGACTTACAAAGCTCTACATTATCTGGCTCCTTTCTGTACTCTTTCTCTTCTATTATTTTTCCCTTTTTTTCATGATATTCTAGCACTGTGGGCTTTGATTGGATGTATTGAAAATGCAGCATATCAGGGATGGGGTTGTAGCTCAGTGGTAGAGTGCTTGCTTAGCACACATGAGGCACTGGGTTTCGATCCTCAGCACCACATAAAAATAAATAAATAAAATAAAGGTATTGGATCCATCTATAACTAAAAAAAAAAAAAAAGAAAAGAAATTAAAACAAAAACAAAAGAAAATGCAGCCTATCTACAAATGTTCTCTCCTTTTCTCTTTGGCATGCTTGATGAATGGAATCATCACATATGCCAGAGTCACATATGTGACTACTTCTCCTTCACTGTATCATCAAATTGATTCTAAGTTTAAGGAATCTTATTCTTGAGTCCATGGCTGGTTGTCCTAGGGCTGCCACTAAGCATAGCTTAAATATTCTAATAACTCTCAATCTCTTACCTTCCAACCCATCTTTTACACTTTGCCATCTTCTGAAATGTAAATCTGATTATATCCATTTCTTCTGTGTTAGCTCTTTGTTGCTGTGACAAAATTACCTGACAGAGCAAGAGGAAGAAAGTTTATTTGGGTTCRCAGTTTCAGAGGTTCAGTCCATGGTTGGCCAATTCCATTGCTTTGGTCCTGAGGTGAGGCAGAACATCACACGGAAGCAGAGAGAGGTATCAGGGACAAAATATGAATTCCAAAAACCTGCCCCCAGTGATCTGCTGCTTCTGGCCATGACCTACCTGCCTACAGTTACTACCCGGTTAGTTCATTCAAATTATTAATCCATCAAATGGATTCATCTATTGATTAAGTTATAGCTTTCATTTCACCTTCATTAACACAGGAGCATTAATACAGGGACACCTCATATTCAAACCTTAATGAAAAGATTTAATTAAAAAATTTTTAGGATTTTCCTGTTGCCTTTAAGAGACATTGCAAATTCCTTAGTTAATACGTATGATCTTTCAACGTCTGTTACTTATCTGCTTTTCTAGTTTCATCTATCCTCATATACTCACAGGCATTCTATTCTTCAGCTACAAAGTTATATACACATATTGAACCCCTTCTGGGAACAGCCTAGGATTCTTCCTAAAGGCTTAGGACAAAATCTAACTGTATGAGTATCTGCTAATACCATGTATGGAGGCTCTGAGCTGCTCTTACTCTGGTGAGAAGCTTTGTTGATACATAAAATAGTACATGATTTGAAAAGGTGAGACTTCTCCAGAATGCCTTTTTTTTTTGGTACCAGGGATTGAACCCAGCAGTGCTTAACCACTGAACCACATATCCAGGGACTTGCTAAGTTGCTTAGGGCTTCGCTGAATTGTTGAGGCAGCTTTAAATTTGTGATCCTCCTGCTTTCTGAGCTGCTGGGATTACAGACGTGTGCCACCACTGGTTGGAATGCTCATTTTGTATGTGTGTGCTTTTATATGTACCTCTGCCAGCCTATCCTTAGCCATTCCTTTAAGACTGAGTATGCAAATTCATTTCTATAGTTTTTGTTTATTCAAGACCAGTTCCTCTCCTGAGTTCTAACTGGAGTCTGTATCCAGAGAGCATTCCCTTTATATTGTTTTCTGTTTATCTCTTCTGTTAGACTATACATTTAGGACCTTGTATTTTAATTTCTATCATTAGCATAATTTTTTGTGTAGGGCAATAAACATTTGAAAAATGACTGATTAATTAAATGGTCTTAAGGAGCAGGGTTAGGACTTCAATCTAGCTGTGTAAATATTCCCTGAGTGTAAATAATTGAGATCATTAGTCCAATAATTAACTTTTGATTGCCTTCAGGGTTGATATGAAATGTTACATAACAAATCACTTGCAAACCTAGTGGCCTTAAACGATTATTTATTATTTCTTGTGTTCCCTTTGTATCGGGAATTCAGGAGGAGGTTGGCTGGGTAGTTTGGGGCTGGGGGTCTCTCCTGAGGTCATAGTCAGACATCAGCTTGGCTGCAGGCATCTGAAGGCTTCACTTGGTATGGAGTATCCATTTCCAAGATGGTTCACACACTTAGACTCATTCATATAAATTAGATGTGATTTCAGTCTGTCTTCTGTATTCTTTAACTACTCTACTGAGCTTGGTAAATAATGAACATTTGAATGATTAATATTGAAAATGAGTAGAGGACAAGCGGTAGCCAGCCTCTGGGTATTTATATTCTCTGTGTCCTCTCTCCCTCTGTTTTCAATCAGGGCTGGTCTATCGGACCAACAAAATATGGTTTGACAATGTGAGGATTACAAGGCCAGTCATAAATGGTATATTGCAACTTCTGTAATATTTTTTTGGATTGCTCATTCTGGGGTAAGTCAGTTATATGATGTGAGGTCACTCAAGCAGCCCTTTGGAGAGCCTCTCAAGGAGAGAAATTGAGGCCTCCTGCCAACAGCCAGCAGCAGTTTGCCAACATTGAGCAACCTGAAAGTGGATCTGATAGCTCATGTCAAGCCCTCAGAAACTTGCAGTCCTGATTGAGATGTGACTATAATCTCATGAGAGATCCTTCTCTCTACAGTGTTTCAGACTTGCTGTTGACCTCAGGTATTGTTCTATCAAATGATTGTTGAGACCTTTTATATACTTAACACTGTGTGAAGTATTACAGTGAATAAAAAATTTAAAAACTTAGACCCTGTCTTTTCTTAGCTTCAGTGTTGACCCTCTTAGATGAAGGAACTGACTAGTCACAACTTGGCAAAACCTTTTGTCTCCTCACTTTATGCTTATAAATTAATTTAAATTTGTTGTCACGAGTTTATTTTGTCAAGCCTGCCTTCAGTCATTCCTTCAAGATCAAAGCAGCATACAATTGATGATGTGTTGTCTTGCTGGACTTTATTGGGAGCCATATGGTCTCATTTTCCTGTAGCAACTTACAGGGAATCTTAACACTTTGAAATTTGCAATTTGTTTTCTTCTTCAATCTATGAATTTGTTGAAGTTCATCCTTATATTTTTTTTTAATAAATGAAAATTGACTTAAACTTTCTTAGTTCTCTTTTTATTTAAGAATATCTTAAATGACATTTAAAAAGGGATTATGGTTCAAAATGCTTTTGTATAAATAATCTGATTCCTCAGAATAACCTTTCATGGTTGATGGTTTTATCATGATTTTAGAAATAAGGATATTGATACTAAAGTGGGTTGTCCAAAGGTAATAGTTAAAAAATTTAAAGGTAAAATGCAAATATCACTAAACTATTAGATAACAGAGTAGTTAATAGTAGATTTGCTCTTATTTTTAGTTTCACCATAATGTGGGAACTTTATATTATGACATTAAAACTGATGTCAACTACTATTTCCATTCTTGTTGAAAGTACAGACAGTTCCATGGCAAAAAAATGAAGTATAGAGTAGAATTTTAAAATTTTTCTAATTGATTTTTGTAATTTAGTGATACTTTTTGAATTTTTTTCCTTCACCTTTTTTCTTCTCCCCTTTACACCACCCTAAAATCTCTTTTAATATAAAGGTCAGAGGGTCACTTATGTCTGCCTGTTCGATATACACATTCCTTCCCAGAAGCCTTACAGAAGTTCTATCGTGGTGAGTTCAGGTAGGAATTTTTTACTATTGTTTTTATATTTAATAAGTATGTACTATTAGTAATGATGTTTTTTAAATGGAACAAGTCAGATATTTGGATTATTTCATAGTTATAGCAGTAGCCATAAAATGTAATATATCACTTGAGTCATGAACAGATCAGATTTACCTTCCCCTAGTCCACTTGGAATCCTGTAAAAGAACCTTGACAAATGTTACTTGGCCTTAAATACAAGTAAAATTTTTTCTTTTTCAGTGTGATAGAGACCTGTCTCTACTTTCTTAACCTTATAATATGTTTTTAGCAGTTTAATAGAAAAATGGTTAAAACTGTTAAAATTAAAGGTTCAAATTCTGAGATTTTGTATTTTTTATATTTATATTTTATCCAGTAATGAATGTAGGGTTGGATATTTAATCCAGCAGTGCTGAGATTCCTGGTATCTCTGTCTTACATATGATGTGTTTCTTGAGAAGCAGAGAGGGGATTTTAAAAAGTTTCTTTTTACTTCATGTGTTCATGAAAAGAGGCTAGTGGATACAGAACCTGAGATAGGGTTAGCTGGTTATATATGAGATAGGGAAAGCCAAGTTGGACTACTTTTTTGTAGTTTGAAGAAACTTTTTTCCCTATATATTTACAAAATTGTTTTAACTTTTTTAAAAAAATGTTTTTATTTTGACACATAGTAATTGTACATATTTATAGGATAGAATGTTACATTTTGATGGATGTATATAATGTATAATGATCAGATCAGGGTAATTGGCATATTCATCACCTCAGACATTTATTATTTCTTTGCATTGAGAACATTCGAAATCCTTTCTACTAGATATTTTGAAATATTCAGTTAATGTCAACTATAGTCATCCTTTTGTGTTATAGAACAAAAGTTATTCTTCCTACTCAACTGCACTCCAAAATCTTGACTTTTCTAGAATCACTTTATTATCATTGATTTCAGTTTCTAGGTCATTTCAGAAATTTGATACCTATAGAAATTACTATAACTCCCCAAGTGGGAATATACTTTTGTATGCTTACCCAGCAGAATCTGTCCTATTGGTTTTGAAATCAATTAAACACAATTCCTTTTCTCTTTACTTTTACCAAAAGCATCATATAAGACTTTAGTGTAATGTTACATTTGTTACTTTTTAATCTTTTTCCTTTTATTGCCTTAAAAATACCATCATTATGAAATTTTGGGGGAATATAATACAACCACCTTAACATGATACTTTTTTGATTTTAGAATACTTTTTTTTTTTGTATAATACTTTTTGCTGAGGAAAATATAAGACTATGTCTAGCTCAATTGTCCAGGACTTAATGGATTCCTGATAAAAGGGTTTCATTTTAGTTCAAATTACTTGGAAGACTTTGTATGAATATATTAGGTATTTCTATTATAACTGAAAAGAAAAATAAACATCCGAATCTGTCTTTGAACAGGAACCTGGATTTTAGGTGTTTCGGGTATAATTTATCATAGAATAGCCTGTTTTGAATATGCATTTTTACTTTTTAAATTTATTATTTTGTCTAATCCTTAGTGTAGTGTATTCTATTTTAGCCTAACTTTCTTTTCTTTACTCTTCTAAGGTGGTTATGGAGGCAGCGTATCAGGTTATACCTTGAAGGGACTGGCATAAACCCCATTCCTGTGGACCTTCATGAACAGCAACTAAGTCTGAATCAGCATAGCAGAGCCTTCAACATTGAAAGAGTTGATGATGAAAGTAGGTAGATTGGAATAAGAATCAGCGTTTAGGGCAATATTTAACTTCTGGTTCTTTTGACTTCTAATTCTGTGGGATATAATTTATAGTTAACTTAGTGCCCCTCACAATACTTAAGGAAGTACAGTGAAGTCCTTCTGCTGTAAAATTTATTGTAATTAAAATCCAGAGTAAGAAATATAGCATATTTCTAGAGAAAATGTTTTCTGGAACAGGTTTAAAAACTAGATCAGGGAAAGATTATGAAATACCTAAATGAATAGTTGATATTTAAGGGAAGATCTTTGGACTTACTATTTGAAATGTCAAGAGAAAAGAAAAAGCAATGATATAAAATGAGATAATCTGGAGAAAATTTCATATTATACCTTAAGGTACATTTACCATAGTTACTGTTGTTAAATAAAACCTTTTTAGCTCAGCACAGGGGCTCAAGCCTGTAATCCCTGTATTTGGGAGGCTGAGACATGAGGATTACAAGTTCAAAGCCATCCCAGCAATTGGAGGCCCTAAGCAATTTAGCAAGACCCTGTTTCAAAATAACAAATAAAAAAAGGGGCTGGGGACATGGCTCAGTCATTAAGTGCCCCTGGGTTCAATTGCTGTACCTAAACAAAATAAAACCACACTTTTTGTTGGGAAAATTTGCATTCCAGCTTTAAGATTTGCATTTGAAGTATTTTAAGGAGAATATAAAGGGAAGGTAATTTGTACCTTTTCTGTATAAGGGTTAAGGTGAATTCTCAATTGTGAGCTAATTTATGGATTATTATTTAGCTAAATTTTTCTAGTTTTTCCAGAAATTGTAAGATTCTCCTGGTGCAGGAAGATCCCAAGAGAAATATTTGTAGACTGTATAAAAAGATACTTTTTTCCTCCAATGTTTCATTTTTCTTGGTAAACTTATCAGGAATCTATATTTTACGTTCTTGCTTTGTGTCTCTGCTCTGTCATGCTACCTGATGTTTATATCCTTTTTATTTTCTTTCAGAGCTTTTTCATGGTAGTTTATAGATTTATAGTCTAACAAGCTTGTAAAGTGTATAATTTTTGCTAGATGTACTGGTTCACTCCTGTAATCCCAGTGACTCTTTCTGAGGCAGGAGGATCCCAAGTTCCAGGCCAGCCTCAGCAATTTAGTGAGACTGTCTCAAAATGAAAAGATAAAAAGGAMTGGGGATATAGCTTAGTGCTAAAACATCCCTGGGTTCAGTTGCCAGTAAGAGAAGGGAAAAAGTTATTTTTTTCCCCCGAATAAAACTCCACTTGATTTTTAAGAAAATTTTAAAGAAATTATATCCTTGTGAATTCTTGCTATTGTTGTTAAAAGCCATTAGTAACTATTAATATTTTAAAATCATAGATATTTTACTTTTCACTCACTGAAAGAAATTACTGCTCTATTCAAAAGATGGTGAATTGGCCCTTTTCATCAGTAGTCATTTAATTTAAAAAAATATGTACACTGATATACAGAGATTCACTACTTAGATACCCACCTCAGATTCAGTGGGTTTAGTTTATAAACTAAGTAGTTCATATATAGAAACAAGTACATATAAATTTATGTCCAGGATGTTCATATCTGATTAATGGGAGTTGTACAAAAAGAAGAGAAAAAATGTTCAAAATAAAAAAATAATACAGGAACTGGGTAATCCGAGCCAGTGGCTTGGGAAGCTGAGACAAGAGGATCGCAAGTTCAAGACCGTCGTTAGCAACTTAGTGAGACCCTGTCTTCAAAAAAATAAAAAGGACTGGGCATATAGCTCAGTGGTAAAGGGCCTCTGGGTTCAGTCCCTAATACCACCCCCTCAAAAAAAGAATTAAAWTTTTTTTTTAAAAAGTACATGACAATGTACCCTATAAATTAATAATTTAGTAATTTTCTTATTTTCTAGGCTGGTTGTACTAATTAGAGAGGTGAATTGTTTTRATAAACAATACCTGATATATTTGTGGATTAATGCAATAAAGATTTATTTCTAGGTCATTGTATTTCTAGATCAAACACTGAGAGGTGTTTAGGCAATCCAGGTTCCTTCCAAATTCTGTTCCTGCCATATTCTAAGGCCTCTGAGTTTCTATTGTACCCTCTGTTTTTTTGTTGGGTGAAGAATCTAGGCAGGATGAAGGATCTTAAGAAAGTTTTAAGAGCCAGGCCTTTTCATCACTTTGCCCACATTCCATTGGCCATTATCTGCTCAGGGCTCCAACCCAGTGTGAGCTGATGTGGAAATAAAATCTGGCAGTATGAGAATGTGAGAGAATTACAGTGTGGTAGTCTCTGTCACAAGTTTAACATTTCTATAGTAAAAAATGGAGTTTAAAACTTCATAATTGATTCTCTTGGACTCATGTCCTATTGAAACAAGTTATAGGTGGACAGTTTTGTGATTAGGTAAAGTTTGGTAGTCACTTAGCATGAAAGAAAATATAAGAATTAGATGATTAATGAAACATAAAGTAATTTTATTCTCTCCATCATTTGATTTGATAAAAGTTTTAAGATGACCACTCAGCAAGCACATACAGTAAAAATGTTAATATGGAGATGAAAATTAGGGAAAATAGGAATAGGGAAAGTCAAGATCACATTTAAAAACATATGGTTCCCAAAGTTCTATGATAGTTCAAATTTATTAGTTACTACTCACTTTTGAATACGTGTAGAAAATTTGTAGGGTTGGAAGTTTAAAACAAATTCTTTCAATTACCTTATTTAAAGAAAAATAATTTAAGTGGGGCAAGTGGCACAGACTTGTAGTCTCAGTGACTGGGGGGATGGGAGGGTAAGGCAGGAGGATCACAAGTTTGAGGCCTGCCACAGCAGTTTAGTGAGGCCATAAGCAATTTAGTGAGACCTTATCTGTCTCAAAAATTAAAAAAAAAAAAAAAAAAAAAAAAAAAGGGACTGAGCATGTAGCTCAGAGGTATAGTGCCCCTGGGTTCAATCCCCAGTACCAAATAAACCAAAAACATTTAAACAATAAATTTTAGTGTTTTACATTTGTGAAACTTTCAGGAAGCCATGAATATATCTAGTAGCAAATTAAGATGGTTTCAAAAGTTAGCCTGTTTTACAGTCTTAAGTGCAGTCAGATTTAATTAAGCACAAAGTCTTTTTATATAGCTATTTGTGTCAAACTTTGTCTGCTGTATTATGAGTTCAAACTGATGATTTAGGCAAATAGCAGGTGCTCAAAAGATTGTTTGTATTGTAATAACAATATTTTGTATTTGAAGAAATAGTTAAATAAGAAAAATATAATTAGTGTTCTCTTTAGTAAACATAAAAATATAAAATTAGGCTAGCCAGTCAGAGGAGAATAGATCAGTGACTGTTTTTGGTGACATTGGTGCTTTATTAGTGTATTCAGTATCTGTTGTGTATTAGTATCTGTTGTCTATTGCTGTGTAACAAATCATTGCAACATTTAGTATTTTAAATATTTATAATCTTATATAGATTGTGAGGGTCAAGAATCCAGGAGCATCTTGACTGGGTATTTTTGGTTTAGGGTCTCAAGATGGGATTAGGACTGGAGAATTTGCTTCCCAGTTTATCACCTGTTAGCATGTGGCTTCTGTTCCTTAGCACATTTGCATCTCCAGAGAGCTGCTTGTTGCACACCTTTCCCTAAACAAGTGAGCTGAGAGAGAGGGGCCAATGTAGAAGCCAGTGTCTTCTTTCCTAATCTGCCAACCTGCCATATTCTATTTGTCAGTTTGGACAACTCTGTTTTTTGATGTAGGAGAGTAGGTGTATTCACAAGGGTCTGAATACCAGGAGGCCTGAATCATTGGGGACCATCTTAGAGGCTGTCTACCACAAAGGGATTGACTTTTAAGTATGGACTTAGGAAAAATGGTAGAAGAGACAGAAAAGTGAACTTGCCACATGGTACTTGTCTATTATGTGATACTTGAGTGCAATAAATCTGCTACTTGTGATATTGAGAAGATAAGATTGGCATTTCTATTTGGAAACTGATGAAGTTAAGGGGAGACTCTTGAAGGTAATAATCTCAAGTTTGATCCAAAAAAACCACTAAAAATCTTTTGGAGTTTTCCGGGATGGAGTGATGCTTAAATAATTATCAAGGAAAATGACTTAAACCAAGCACACAGCCATATAGATTTAAAAAATAAAAGATGACATGTTTTAGGAGTCCTGAAGGGAGATTTTGTAGTGTTTCTATGATGCTTTTGTAGCTAAAAACCTTTTTTGAGGCTTTATTTGAAAACAAAATAACTGATTTTATTCTTCCATTTCTAGTTTGGTTTCTAACATGAACCATGCATGTAATTTGATCCCTAAATCCAAGATGGCATTTCTTTAGGTGTACTTTGTCAGTTTTTAAAAATATATATATTTGCCTTTTTTACATACCTTTATTTTATTTATACATACTAAGCAAGTGCTGTGCCACTGAGCTATAACCACAGCCCTACTTGGTCAGTTTTACCTCTGAAACTTGCAAGATATAAAGCTGTGACAAGGACTGTGAATTGAATTAATGTATTTTATTACTCTGGAAAAATTATTTCAAGAATAAATGAGGTTTAATCTGGAGAGACAGAAGCTTCATTTGTTTGGTATAAGGTTAGATGATTTTAAGGTTTATATTTTGTATACTTTAAGATATTTACTTTATATGTTAACTGTAATAGGTAATATGATTTTATTAAAACTGAAATTTTTATAATGTTTCACAAATTTTTATTATAATACTTCTAAAATTCAAGGAGCTCTCTTGGTAATTTTTTTCCTTCCTATTACTTCAGGGTCGGAGACTTCAGGACCCCAACTTTTGCCAGTGAGAGCTCTAAATGAAGTCTTTATTGGGGAGAGTCTATCATCCAGGTATTTTTAAACCTATGATCTTGATTATATAATTTAATATGTTCGTACTTTTTGGATATTAATGTCCAAAAGTTGACTAAGATTTGTGAATAATTAATACTGTATAAGTAGTAGAAATTATTTAATGAAATTTTTCCCCAAACCATCATACCTGTTGATACATATTAAGGGAAAAGAAAGGTTCATGACCAGAAAAATTTGTGAAACCCTACATTAAACAGTATCAGGTTTCTTTAATACTTCCYAGTATCTTTATTATATTAAGTGCTTTGTAAATATTTAATGAGGGATGTAGTAAGTGTATATTTGCAATTGATATAATATTCTATATTATAGATAGTCCATATTAAATTTTTCCACTAGAGCTGAGTGCAATGGCATATGCCAATAGTCCCAGCTACTTGGAAGACTGAGTTAGGAGGATTGCTTGAATTTAGGAGTTTGAAGCCAACCTGGGTCATATAGCAAGACCTTTCTCAAATAATAGAGAATTTCTCCATTAATTGGTCTTAGTGTCTTAAAGTTGATTTGTTTGCTTGCTTGGTTTTATCCAATATCCAATTAAGAATCACACATTGCATCTGCTCATTTGTAGTCCTTTAAAATTAAGAATAGCTCCTTAGCCCCACCTGTTTTGTCATTTATGATATTAATAATTTAGAGTAGTCTAAGCCAGCTGGTTTGCAGAATTACCATTTTTTCTTTTTTATTTGTATAATTTTGTTTTCACTTCATGATAAGATTCAGATAAGGCATTATTGACAAGAATGCTACCTAGGTGGTAATGTGTTCTTTTTAATGTAACACATTTGAAGAAAATTATATTGATAGTTTGCTTTAGTCAGCTTTTTCACTGCTGTAACTAAAAGACCCAAACAGGACAATTGTAGAGGAGGAAAAGTTATTTGAGGGCTCACAGGTTAAGAGGTCTCAGTCAATATACAGCTGGCTCCATTCCTTGGGGCTCAAGGTGAGGCTAAACATCCTGGCAGCAGAGTGTGTGGTAGAGCAAAGCAGCTCACATGATGATCAGAAAGTAGAGAGAGACTCCACTCGCCAGATTCAAAAACATACCCCAAAGGCACACCCCCAGTGACCCGCCTTTCAAGTTTTTCAAATCTTTTTTCTCTGCTTTCTTCTCCTGATTATCACAATAAATTTGGCTATAATCTGCCAGCAATATCCATGCCACCACCTGAATGCTATGCTGTCTAGAAAGTTCTTCCACCACAGTAAGGAGTCCTTTGCTTTAAAAATCAGCCTTACATATGGTCTCAGGACATGGGCAAAATGCAGGCAACTTTTCAGCCAGAGCATAACATGAATGGCTTCTACTCCAAATTCCAATAGAGTCCTCCTCTGATTCCTCTTGAGCCCTGTCTTTACTGTCCTTGGTCCTGTAGGTATTCTGGTCTTCTGAGTACCCACCAGAAGTAGAAATTAAGCTCTGCTTACAAGAGTCTAAACCATTTCCAGCTTGTAYTACTAAGCATCTCAAAATTTCCTCCCACCAATTCTAAGAGCTCCAAAAGCTTCTGAACCACATGGTCAGGTTAATTACAGCAACAACTCCACTCCTGGTACCAGTTTCTGTTTTAGTCAGCTTTTCCACTTCTGTGACTTAAAAGAACAACTGTAGAAGAGGAAGAGTTTATTTGAGGGCTTATGGGTTTCAGAAGTCCCAATCTATAGACTGCTGGCTCCTTTCCTTGGGGGCTTGAGATGAGGCAGAACAACATGGTAGAAGAGTGTGGTGGAGGAAGGCAGCTCACATGATGATCAGGAAGCAGAGGGACTTCACTCCTCAGATATAAAATGCATACCCCAAATACAAGCCTCCAAAGACCGACCTCTAGCTATACCCGAACGGTCTTCAGTTACCACCCAGTTAATCCTATCAGGGGGATTAATTTGCTGATTGGGTTAAAGTTCTAATAGCCCAATCATTTCTTCTCTAAGCCTTTTTGGCTTTTGGGGAACACCATCCAAATCATAATACAGTTCAAAATCATAACCATTAGTAAGAAAAATTAAAGTTAATATGGTTCCTCAGTAGTATAAAAATAGAGTATGTACATTCCTAACAATAAAATTTCTTGTATGGGACCTAAGTGTGATTTAGGCTTATTTGTCAATTTATTTTTTTTACTATTTTTTTGCATGACATGTATTTATTAACCAGCTAAAAATTGACTTATATAATATAAAGTTAATATAAATTTTGATAGTACTTTCGACCCTGACAGTATTTTAGACCCTATCATTTTTATAGATATCAGTAAGTTAGGGATAGAAGATTAGTATGTGTTTTATGTCCCACTTACTGCTACCAGAACCCTGTGACTATTTAGGGGCTGTGTAATTGATTCCATAACTTTCTAAATTCATGGAATTGTTAGTAATTCTTTTGTTTCAAGCCATCTACTTTTGTCAAAAGAGTTTAGTTATGACAAGAAAAATTTGTCTTAAAATATATCCACATTGTAGACAATAGTAAATAGCTTTATTATCAACTCAAGTTATAGTAAAAAGAATTAAGCTTATTTATTTATTTAATAAGGGAAAGGGATATAACCCAGTGGTAAAGTGCCCCAAGGTTCAATCTCTATACCAAAAACAAAACAACCTAAGTCAGCAGGATGATTTGAATAATCTTTTTGAATTGTTATTTTTTGTTGTATGTAATATCAAATTTATCCAACAAAAATATATCATGTACCTGTTATGTACAATGTGCTAGTCATTGGGGATACAATGTGCAAGTCATTGGTAGTATTTTAATTTTTTTGAGGGTGAAAAATATATAATTTTTAAAAGTCTTAAAAGTAAACCTTATTCTTCAAGGAAATAAACTTAAAAATATGCTAACATGTAAAAATGTATTTAACATAGTAAGGTCTATGCTATATATAAATTGTTTTCTTTGGTTATATATCAAGTTTGAATCAATATGAAGATSAATAGTAAGTATTATGTGATAAAAAAGAGGAGGAGAAAATGTAACCATAACTAGTGATATAATCTGGTTATTATTGCCAACACATAAGACAGCAACAACTTCAAGTGATATTGGAGAAAGTCCATTAAATTAAATAGATGACAAAGGTAAAATGTTTTGTGAATTTATGCTTTGTCTATGCAAGCCACTTGATGGCTTATTTTATTCTGTTTGTGTATTTAATGATTTATGGTTAACTGCTTCGAGCTTCAACTAGCATTGCTTTATTCTTTGTACTTAACTAAAAAATAACTTATAAAAGGAAAAACCTGGGACTAGATGATATACGTGGGGAGGCAGTGAAGTCCCAAGGATAATGTCTCTTTACTATCTTTACTAAGATAAGGGCAGCAGTGAGTTGGTTTCTGATACTATTGAACTTGGTTAAATATTGGGGGTATTAGAACTTACTTTTAAAGATTCTGTGATGTAAGAGCCATAGGGAAAAAATGACCATTTATTGGATGTCTGCTATGTATCAAGCTGTGTATTGTTTGTTATCTCATTAATGCTTACAAAAACCCTATGAGAAAGGTAGCCAAATTTATCAATGAAAAGAAATTAAAATTTGGGAGGTTAAAATAAATTGCCCAAGGTTATATCATTAGTTAGTGTTGGAATTTTTATGTAAGCCCATTATTTCAGATTCTAGACCCTATGTCGAGGCTTTACTATGTTCCAAAAACCTAAGTACTTCGCTTGGAAAATATGAAGTGCAGCAATATTATTCCTGCCTCATTTATAATGTTCTTAGATTTAAGAACATTTTAAAAGCCCAATCTCTTTTTTCTTTTCTCTTATTTGTTCTAACCTAGAATGTCTTATTCTTGGGCTGTAGCAGTGGACAATTTAAGAAGAAGTATACCCACTCTAAAGGGACTGTGAGTTTTATTGCTGCCTTAAAAAAATAATTTCCCCAAAACAAAAATTCTTTAAATTGACTAATCTCAATAAACCTGCATGTGAGAATGACACTAAATTTGCTCATTTTTTTTGACTCAGCATCTCTTATCCAACGTGCTTTTCTTTCTCTCCCCTTGTACTTCTTTTCTACCCCAACTTACTTCTAATTTCTTGTTTCTACTTGATTCTAGCATAGTAGCAACCATTTCTCTGGATTTGGCTTGTCTGTACATAATAGGCTTCTAACATGAATTTTCTAGGAAGATGTAACAAAACTATGAAATAGGTTAAATGTGCATAGTAGGTGTGCTATTTTTTATAAGAAATGATAACTTCAGAGAACAAAATGAAAAGGTTGTATTATGTAAAACCACCACAAATGAAGAGATTGCAGGAGAAATTTGAAAGGGTTAGAGTAAGTGATAAATCATCCAGAGTGTTAGTGTTTGCAATCATGTCTAATCATTGTCTTTATTTTGAAAAGTTGTTATTGATTTAACATTTGTATTTGCTGAAAATAATTTAGTGTTGACACCATTATTTTAAGATAATTTACAAAATAGGCTTTTACACATTTTAGAAGTTCTTTGCATAATTTTAAATCATTTACGTATGCATGGAGTTAAAGAATAGTATCACTTTTGGTAGTGTCAGGAAACCCATTTGATTTCATATTTATACAGTGTTCTAAGAAATATAATCTTTTAGAAATTACAGTTGTAATTTTTTTCTTAGTTTTGTCTGCTAATAGAGAATTGGTTGAAATTTTTCTTTACAACTTTAACTGTTACCAATTTAAAAGGTGGTGTATTAGCATAGAACATAAGAAACAAGTTTAACAGAAGCCATTAGTAACTCAAAAAATTAGATATAGATTTAGATATATCAAGGATTAACCATCAAGAATGAAATTTACCTAAGAATGTTATTTTCTTTTTTGAATCCTGATATGAAGCTGTGTTAGATTTCATAAGAGCAGTAGCAGCAATGCTAGCTAAAAATGTATAGCCCCTGTTTGAAATAATAAAGATAGTAAGGAGAATATGAATCAGAAAGACATGCAGACATGCAATTTTTTTTCCTTATAACTTTTTTCACTTAAATTGGAACTAGTACCTGAGAGATGTGCCTACTAAGTAAGATGTCTTGGCTAAGTTGACTTACTTACTTAGAATTTATCAGTTCTGAAGAAGACTGTTTATTTCTTTATTGTGAATCATAAACTTAGCAAACAGTTTTATATTATCAATTCATAGGGCATCCTACTATGAAATTTCAGTTGATGATGGCCCGTGGGAAAAACAGAAGAGCTCAGGGCTCAATTTGTGTACTGGAACGGGATCCAAGGCCTGGTGAGTAGTTTGGGATGTTGCTTATCAAGATTTGTGAAACATTTTAAGTGATGTAACTTATTTGGCACCTCATAGTTGGGCATCTAAGGTCTCTGGTGCATAAGAGGTAGCTGGTATTATTGTGTAGGTTTGGCCCAGTTTCTGATTCACTCACCACCTGGGTCTAGTAGTCCTGCCTAGACTTCTTGGATTATGCCTGCAACTTGGATTGGTCATTATTGGGCCTACTGCACTAGGTTTACAAAGATATAAAAGGAAATGGGAAGCGGTTTGGGATATTATATACTTTTTAAATGTTAAGAATATTTTAAATAGTAAATGAACACAAAGTATAATACAAAAAGAGGCTGGGAGCTGAATACCTGTAGACCCACTACTTAAGGAAGCTGAGGTAGGAAGATCTCAATCTCTTGAGCCCAGGAGATTGAGGCCAACCTGGGTAACAGAGACCCTGTTTCAAACCAAAGGAAACATGCAGATTCCACCCAAACATATTTGTGACTGTCTTCTTTCCCAAGAACATACTCATATTCTAAAATTATTTGCTAGGTAGAATGTTAATAGACATCAAATCCAACACATTTAAAACTGAACTTAGTTTTTCTTTCCATGTTCCCTGTGTTGCTTAATACCATCAGTATTCAACCATCTCTACGCTCCAGAGAAAAAACATCACTTCTCAAAACCTTGCTCTGGCCTTTCCGTCTTCCCATTCTTCATTCCCTTCTCTGTACAGCCTCGTCTCTAATCCAGCTCATTGCATATCCCAAATATTTGCTCATCTTTTTCAGTTCCCACTGCAGCTTCTTTTGTCCAGGCCTCCATCTTTTTAGTGGATGTCTTTTGTGTCTCATCTTTTATTCTTCTGATTGTCCTCTACACACTATTAACAGAGTAGTAACTTCTAAAGTGTAGATAGATTTGCCTCTGTGTGTTCTGCCTTAAAACTTTTCATTGACCGACCCCTGACTGTGTTCATATTACTTAGGTATCATGTAAAGGCTTATAAAATGTGGCCATGAGTACCTTACTGGCCTTATTCCTGCCCTTACCCCTACTCATCACTAGCTGCAGATACTACAGGCTATTTGCAATTCTCAGCACATATTTTGTTCTCTCTTGCCTTTTTGTTTTTGCTCAATGCAAGTTTTTCCTACTTTGAATGTCTGAGCACTCTCAACTTTGCATCCACTAGCTAAAAAATCCAGTCTTCATTCTCCTTATGAAATCTTCATCAACACACAGTTCCTTTCATAAGCACAATGAATTAATCCCCCTTTTGTCCTTCCCTAGCACTTCTCTCATAGTGCTGTTATGGCATCTGTCACATTCTTAGTAATCTAATATGCTAATACCCAGCTAGTTTGAACAACTTTAGGGATTTGAGATGGTGACTACTGTTGTTTTCCTGTGTGTGTGTGTACATAGTGCCTAATATATATTTACTCAAATATTTTTTTCGAATAAATGACTATAAGCTCACAATAATAGTTAAACCAGTGTTATCAAAGTGATTTTAAGTTTGGATGGTTTAATTTAGAGTTTTATTGCCTATTTTTTCAATATGACTTTTAAAACTTTTTATTGTAGAAAATTTTCAATTGATATAAAAGTAGACAAAGTAATGTAATGAATCCCCATGTATCCATTAGGCAGTTTAGTAATTATCAACTAATGCCCAATGTTGTTTCCTCTGTGTACTAGCCTGACCTATGTCTTCTGTCCCATGGTATTTTGAAGTAATTTTCAGATATTGTATAATTTCATTTATTATATCATTTGTCACATTAAGTAACTTTGTATCTTTTAAGGAAAAACTTAGTTGTTGCCAAATAAAATAATATTTTGGGAAAAATAAGTATTATTTTAAAAGATAGGTTAACATTTCATTTTCCTGAGGGCTAGTTGAGAGGAACATTTCTAAAATTTTTCATAGTTATTTAAAGAAAAATTTAATCATCTAATATCCCATATAAAATTATTTTATGACTTTCTCATAGATTAAATTGGAAACATTGCAACTAACCACTTTCATTTGTCATAGCAGCAGTTTCTATTGAACATGGTGTGTACTTGTTGAAAATTGGAGTAAGAATTAGAAGTAGTTCCCCAGGTTCTTTCTCTTTTCCCCCAGTATCCTTATCCATAAGAATGTGAATTGTGTCATAATTTAAAAAGTACTTGCCTGTGAGTTAGGAGTGCTGGTTAAACTGCTATCAAGCTTTGCAACCATACACATTTCCTTACCTGCAAGATGAGAGAAATGGAACAGGTGCAATAATATTACTTCTGAACTTCTTTGATTCTGTAAGTTTATAGTCTATGCATTATAATACAAGCTGTCAGTTATTTAGCCCTTGCTACTTTGTACTGTACTAGATGCTTTTCATGCATTAATTCTTATAGAAGTCTTAAAAAGATACAGTAATATTTCCCTTTTATAAAGGAAGATGGTAAGCTTAGCAAGGATAAATGTTAAGGCCCAAAGTCATGTAACTCTTTCAGAACTTTGATGCAAGCACAGGTGTGCTTGACTGAAAAACCAGTGCTTTTTTCACTGTATCACTGTTAATTGTGCTACCTTATAAAGGAGAGTCAGCTTTAAGTAGAGAAGAAGAGGGGTTCTAAGCCATCTCCAGAGGCCACACAATTGAAGGATGAGTCTTTAGGTTGTTGTCTTGGTCCATTTTGTTTTACTGTAACAGAACAACATAGACTGGGTAATTTATAACGAATAGTTCTATTTCTCACAGTTATAGAAGCTGTAAAGTTCAATATCAAGATGTTTAAATCTGTTAAGAGCTTTTTTGCTGTGTTATTCCATCATGGAAGGTAGAAGGGTGATAGAGAGGGGACTGAATTCATCTTTTTATCAGGAACTCACCCTTGAGATAACAGCATTAACCTACTTGTGAGGGCAGAGCCTTAGATATAATCACCTCTTAAAGCTCAACATTGTTGCACTGGGATTAAGTTTCTGATATATGAATTTGGGGGATGTATTCAAACCATAGCAGTTTTATTGAAGAATTGTTAAGATAAGCTTGCAAATCTTGGTGAAATAGTGCTTTTACTAAAGGCAGTGGGACTTTGACTTTCTGCCCTGGAGTGTAATTTTGATAGTTTTAGTTTTCCAATTTCCAGTAATGAGAAGAATATAAAGAATGAAAACCACTGTAATGCTTACCCTTTACATGCACCTGTTAGTCTGAGTCCTGTGTCTGTGCTGCATTTGGATAAGTAAGATTTAGTTTAGAATTTCAGCCTTCTCTGCACTGCTTATTAAAACCTATTATCACCTGTGCTTTAATAGAGCTCTCTTAACTCTATCCTATTCCTGTCACCTTAGAGGCTCTTTGTCCTATATAACTTGTTTCTTCCTACATGTTCTGCCTCCTTCCCATTTCTGATGATTTTTTTTTTTTTGCTATGCTTGATCTTCTCTTAATAAAATGCAAGGAGAAGAGAAGCCCCAAGGGTCATAGGGGTTGGGGGAAAGCTAGACATTTCTATATATCCTGAGGTTTTAGCACACTTCTATTTCTGAGCACTTTTTTTGGTTCCAAGGTAATTACGTTATTTAATTTCTCATAAATACTCTCAACGTATATGATTTTAATTTAACAATATAAAATGCCTTGGAAGTTAACTGACTTGCCCCCGACTGTGAGGCTAATAAATGTTGAAGCCAGTCTTAACTTTAAACTGCAAAGTTCTAAGGAGACATTGAAAAGCAAAGATCAGTGTAATCTATTTCTTGTTCTCTTCTTTTAATTTTTTGTTGAGGTGGGGGTACCTGGGATTGAACTTAGGGGCATTCAACCACTGAGCCACATCCCCAGCCCTATTGTATATTTTATTTAAAGACTGGGTCTCACTGAGTTACTTAGCATCTCGATTTTGCTGAGCTGACTTTGAACTCTTGATCCTCCTGCCTCAGCCTCCCGAGCCACTGGGATAACAGGCATGCACCACCGTGTCTGGCTCTTCTTTTAATTCTTGAGAAAAGTTTGTTTTCTTAAGTGACCTCAGTCTTTGTCTTCAAAAAGAAATGTGGAAATGTAGGACTCAAGTTAGCTAACTTTTTGTATGTAACTAATAAACTCCAAATCTCAGTGGTTTAACATAATAGAAGTTTATTTCTTGTTCTCATAAAGTACAGAGTGGGTATTCCTAATTGACAGGTGGCTCCCCTTCAAGTGGTTATATAGGGGGCCAGGTTCCTTCCATTCTGTAACTCTGCCATCTTTTAGACACAGCTCTTGAAGTCGCTGTACTCATCTATATCAAGCCACAAGRAGAGGAAAACCATGGAGGGTTTCCTGGGAGGCTGGGGAGCCAGGCTTGGAAGTGTCATCTATCATGATTCTTTTAGCTAGAACTCAGTCACGTGATTATTTGGCCAGAGGGACTAGAAAATAAAGCCTAACTATGTGTCCAGGGAAGAAAAAAATTACAGGGAATTTCATCTTTGCATTTCTAGAAATTGTTCCACAGGGGTGGGGTATAGTGATTGTCCTGCATACCAAGTGCCCCTGAGCTCTCCCCTTATTGCAGTTCTTTGCCAAGATAATTACATTATTTAATTTTCCACAAATACTTTGAAGGTATGTGATAATTACATTATCTAGTTTCTCACAAATACTCTATAGAGTGTTTCAGAGTTTCTTCTTAAGACTGTTCCCAGTTCTCCTCCATACATTCCACACTACTAGACTTAAGAGTGAAGAGATGTTTCTGTGCATGGAATATTAGTAGCAGATGAAGAAAAGCTACTCAGCTTATCTTCCATTTTCTTGTCTAAATTTTTAATTTTTTTTGTACCTGGGGATTAAAGCCAGGGGTGCCTTATTATAACATCATCAGTCCTTTTTATTTTTATTTTGATATAGGTCTTGTTGAGGCTGATYTTCTTGCCCCAGCCTCCTGAGTCACTGGGATTACAGATGTGTGTCATTATGCCTGGTTCAATTTATTATAGGTTATATCTTTAGTAGAGGTTATATCTGATTTCAAATGGAAACTCTTAGAATGGTGAAGATTTTAGAACTAACAAAAAGCATGTTGTATCCTAGCTAACACCTGTGTAGGCATACTATTGGTCTTTCTTTCCTAAAGATAGTTATGAATTCACTAAGGTCTAGATTACAACCATAGGAGAATAATCTTATCTAGTTGTAATTCACAGTAGTTAGAAATTTATAAAGACTTAAAAAAACTTAAAAAAAGACTTAAAGAAACTCCTTATAAATTGTCTTTATTATAAGGACATACTAGTCACTGTCTTTTGCCTATTATATATTGTAATTCAAAAGTCTGAGCAAAGGTAGAGAGGCAAGAATGAGGTTGGTGTGGTTGGAATGTGAAATTGGAGTGTAAATTTTACATGTAAATTTTTGTGTATCTAAAGTTTTTCTTGAATGTCCAAAATGTTTTTGCATTTGTATACAAATGTGAATGTATAGAGTTAGAGAGTTTAGGGAGTAACTCCTGCATTGAAGTTAAGAGCCACTGATTTAAGTTTAAGTTATGTTGGTTCATAAGTTCATGTAAGAGGAGGTATGAGGCAGTAGAAGTTTCAATTATCTGAATTTTTAAAAAACCTTTCCTTATGATCTTTATAAATGTCAGGACAGGAATATTTGTAAAAGTTATCTATTTTAGGAGCTGGGATTGTGACTCAGTGGCAGAGTGCTTGCCTAGCATGGGTGAGGCACTGGGTTCGATTCTCAGCACTGCATATAAATGAATAAAACAAAAGTCCATCGACAACTAAAACAATTTAAAAAATTTAAAAAAGGTTATCTATTTTGTACTAATATTTACTTTTAAGTGACAGAATTTGGCATCATACAGGTACATTTCTCATCTTCGAGGAAACTATTAAAGTAACATGTTATATAGTACAAAAGGATATATATAGTGAAAAGTTAGTATTTATCATTTCATAGCTCTAGTATGTACACACACCTTATTATAATGCCTCTTGTTTTCTAACTTAATATCTTAGTTATCCTTCCACATCAGCATATATTGGTGGTTTGTTTCTCTTTCTCACTGCATCTGTCCGTGTCTGTCTGTCTCTCTCTCTCTTGTTCTCTTGTGCTTTACCATTGAGCTACATCCCCAATCTTTTTTATTTTGAGATAGGGTCTCCTTAAATTGTCTAGGACTTTTCTAAATTGTTACTGGCCTCTTACTTGCGATACTCTTGCCTCAGTCTCCCAAGTAGCTCTGATTGAAGGAGTGCACAGCTATACTCAGCAGTTCTTTTTAATATCATATAACTAGTAGCTCTAATATAATTTATTTCATCACCTTCATCTGGGTATTTGAGTTGTTTTACAGTTATAAACAGTGCTTCAGTAAGTTTTCCTGTATATATCCATGTGCATTATATTTTGAAGTATATTTTAGGATAAATTGCTAGATTGAGAAGTATGTTCATTTTAAAGTTTGATAGTACATAATTACTTTCCAACTGTAGCTTTTGCATTCCTAACAGTATATGAGAATACTTCTTTTGTAATACCTATATCAAAACATTGTCAGTTGTTAACTGTGTTCATTTGTAACAATAATTTCTAAGGATTCTTTGTGTATTAAGTAGATTGCTCACTTTTCATTTTAAGCATGTTTTTAGAATTAATACAAAAAAGAATTATGTGATTTTTGTTTCTAGGTCATTCAATATTAACAGGGTTGCAACTCAGGCTGTGGAAGATGTTTTAAATATTGGTGAGTACCAAAACAGCTATTACATGTTATAACATGATTGTTATATGCTATATAATGCATATATGATATGTATTAGTTATTATATGATATAAACTATTTAATGAAGATATTTCCCTTTTTCTCTTTTATTAGCAAAACGACAAGGAAATTTGAATCTTCCATTAAACAGAGAATTGGTAGAGAAAGGTCAGTAACAGATGATATTCATCATTAATATAAATAACAATTTAGTTTTGAATTAATTTTGAGAATGACAATGTGGAATATCGTTCAATTAGGAAAGCACAGTACTTTTTTGGATTCAAACGTGCTCTTTAATTCATCCTTTTATATGTAGTTAAATAATATTACTACATTTAAAGTTAACTACATTTAAAGTTTAAAGTTGGACTTTTATTTTGTGAATTTTGTCAACTATGAAATATAACCCTTTTTTAAAAATATTTTTTTACATGTTGATGGACCTTTATTTTATTTATTTGTATGTGGTGCTGAGAATCAAACCCAGTGCCTCACACATACTAGGCAAGTGCTCTACCAGTTAGTTACAACCACAGCCCTAAATATAATCCTTATATCAAAACATTGTAACTGTAGACATGTAATGGGTATAGGAAAATTCATGTCCTCCAAATAGGAAAGGTATGCCTTAATTCAGTGTGCCATTATGGAAGTTTCTTCCTTGTCTGGGTTTATCTTTTCATGGCTTCATCTCTTTATAAAAGATTCTGTTCTTTGAATTTGAGACCAAAAAGATGATTTTAATTGTGGTTTATCAACTAGCATTAGCATTAAATGTGTATCTAAGGAAGGAAAATTAGACACATATAATAATCAATTCTTAATTATATAATTTAACTTAAAATATAACCATAAAGTAATGATAAAAGTTTAAGGTGACAGATATGCTAATTACCCCGAGTTGATCACTACCCAGTGTATACATGAATCAGAACATCACATTGTGCCTCATAAATTTATACAAATGTGTCAAAGACCTGAAAAATATATGTGAAACTGAATTTATGTCAGACATATAAATTATATATAATGTATATTTTTATCTTAATATATAATAGCTTTATTTAATGGATGTTTTTACTTTGACAATTTGACTGTCTTATTCAAAAGTAGTGGTGAATGCCAGTAATACAATCCCTGTGACAGACATTCCTGGAACTATTGTGAATTTTCCGTCAGAGCTAACATGTTTTATGTGATGTGTTCCCAAGGAGGCCAATTTTAATTTTTATGGGTAGATGAAGTTTTTTAAAGAGCCAAATATGGCTTTTCAACTTGATAATGCAGAAGTGTTGTGCATTCAGGAGAAACTGTATTTTGAATTTTGAATATTGATCTTTTCCCATGACAGTGAGCTCCAGCTCCCTATTTGCTATAAGATTGGGAGAGGAAATAGTTAATAAATACCCTAGATTCTATGTTGCTATGATGTTCAGTGGGTTAGGTGATTTTAATTTATAATATTTTTAACTCATGGTGGGTTTATCAGATGTAATTCTGTTTTAAGTTGAGGAGTATTTGTAATTCAGATTATACTTTCATAAAAAAGTAGATTATTTGACAGGCTTGTGATTTTTTTTTTTTTTTTAACATGGTGCTCAACTAAATTTACTTTCAGGCCTGATTTCTTTATACAGGTGTACCCCCCACTCAAACCTCCTCCTTTTCATCACCTTATTTATTTATTTTTTTATAAAGAGCTTCTTGCTGTGCTGTCCATAGTAGCCTTTAAACTCCTGGGCTCAAGTGATTCTCTTGTTTTAGATTCTTGAGTATATGGGACCACAGGCATGTGCCACTGCACCATCTTATACGGTTGTCTTTAACCACTTGTACTTTTCATGCCAACCTTCCTGTGCCTCTTGGATGGAGAGAAAGCAGGGCCTACTGATTTCTAGAAATATCTTGAGTAATGACAGTTTCATTGAAGAAATGTTGCCTATCATTGTTTGAGACTGCATTTTATATCACGAATATTAACATCAACTCTTTGACATGGAGCTCTGGAAAGAACTTATCAGGAGAATATGACAACTTGAGTTACATTTTTGAGTGTGTCTAACTAGTTCTGTTTCTTCATTACTAGCTTCATAGTAACTTATCCCAGCACCCACCCCCCAACCCAAACTGTATCTATTTCCATTGTACTGTGGGCTAATAATTGTGGAACCTGATATTTATTTCTAAGGCTTTTCTAAGGCTTTTGTTTTTGGTGTTCTTTTAGTGGGATATATGTTGTAAGTGCCAGGAAACTTGCTACCTAACAGACCTTTGGAACAGAATGGCTTTTTAAGTTGGGGATGGCCTTTATGTTTCATTTTACCCTTCTCAGAAGTGACTATCCTTTTTGAATGTGCTACTGTTTTTTTCCCCTTTGTAGTAACAAATGAATATAATGAATCACTGCTGTACAGTCCAGAAGAACCAAAAATACTTTTCAGTATTCGAGAACCAATAGCAAACAGAGTTTTCTCAAGCAGTCGTCAGCGTTGTTTCTCCTCAAAGTAAGCATACTTGTTCTGATTTGTGACTCTCTTCATCTCTGTTGTCCGTTAAAATCACATTTGTTTGTAAGAGTATTCAACTTCATTAGATTCATTTATTTAACTTACTCTATCAGGAAAAGTAGAATCTGTGCAACTAATGAGGTATCATGCTGACCTGGCTAAAACACTTTCTTTCAAATTTATTGTTATTTTAGGGAAACCAAAATTTAAGTGAAAAGAAGGTGTATATTTATTTAATTGGGTGATGTTGATTTACTGTATTTTAATGTGTCGAGACAATAAGAACAAATTAATATTTGTTTATTGCAGTAATATAGGGGATTGAACCTAGAGGCCCTATACCATTGAGTTACATTCTCAGAGGGCCTCACCCCCTTTTTAAAAATATTTTCAGTCTTGTTAAATTGCTGTTAATTGACCTCATATTGTTAATTGACCTCATATTGTGATCCTTTTGCTGCAGGCTTCCAAGTACCTGGGAATAATAGGTGTGTGTCACTGTGCCTGGCTCACAAAGTTAGAGTAGGATTCATTTCTTTTTTTCTATTTTTGATATGAGGGATTGAATGCAGGGGCATTTTAACACTGAGCTACATTTCCAGCTCTTTTTTCAAAAAATTTTTCCATATAGGGTTTCACTAAGCTGCCTAGGGCCTCACTAAATTGCTGAGGCTGGCCCCTATCTTATGATCCACCTGCCTCAGCCTCCCAACTTTGCTGGAATTACTGGTGTACACCACATGGTTGGAGTGGGGTTCATTTCTGTCACCTTTTCCCTAAAAGTGACTCCCTAATAAATTTAATTATACTAGATTTAAGAATTTCTAATAATCAAAAGATACTATTAAGGAAAAGGCAAGCTAGAGTGAGAAAGATATTTGCAAAACTTATCTGCAGCAATGGGCTCATAGCCAGAATAGATGTACAGGTTGAACATCCCATCTGAAAATCTAGTTTGTAATGCTTCAGTTTCCTACACTTTGTGAGCACAGACATGAAGATACAGGTGGAAAATTACATACCCGATGTCATGTGATGAGTTACAGTCAAAAATGCATACATTCTAAAAATATTGTATACATTTACCTGCAGTCTATGTATATATAAGGTCTACATAAAACAATTGAATTTTGTATTTAGAATTGGGTCCCAAGCCCATGATATGTCATTATTTGTATATAAATATTCCAAAATCTGAAAAAAATCTAAAATCCAAAACTTGTCTGGTTCCAAGCATTTTGGATAAGGGATACTCAATCTGTATATAAAAATTTCTGCAAATCAATGAAAAGGTAGCCAAACCAGTAGAAAAAGCACCAAAAGTCTTAAGCATTTCACAAAAAGTGGGTATCCAGTAAGCATGAGAAAGGTGCTTGACATTATTGTTCATCCAGGAAATGAAAATTAAACTGATGTACTGTGATTCCTGTTATATAAATGTTATTTTTACACATTTTACTAAAGTTTAAGAACAGATAAAACTATTACTACTGTGGTGTTAGAAATTAGAATGGTGGATATGCTTGGGAAAGAAGAAGGCAACTGGGAGAGGGCACTGATTTCCTGATTTGGGTGACATTTATGTAAGTTTGTCAGTTAAGCTGTATCTTACTGATTTGGGCCTCCTCTATGTGTTAACCATAAGTAAAAAATTTACATGAAAATAACATTCTTGTTTAATATTTAACATATTTGTAATGGTAATAACTTAGCAGTCATATGAAAACAGCCTGTTAGTTCCATCAGCTCTGCACTTCTTCACTGCTAAATATTGGGTACTATCTGGAACATATAAATTTTGAGACTTTGATAATATGCCTATATTATTTATGTGGTTGTTAATTCTCTCATGCCAAAGAGCAACTTAACTGTTAAAATCAAGCTGAAATTATTTGCTAATTTAGATAAAAATTTAAATAAATTATTGTTTAGGGTTAAGGAAACTCAATATTTAATGTTTCCTTCTACTTAGGGTTTGTGTTCGTTCTCGTTGTTGGGATGCCTGTATGGTTGTGGATGGAGGAACTTCTTTTGAATTTAATGATGGAGCAATTGCTTCAATGATGATCAATAAAGAAGATGAGCTTCGAACTGTGCTTCTAGAACAGTGAAGGATTTCCTCAGATTGCAAATTTTGATTACTGGAAAAATATTTTTACTGTGGAAACAGATCATCAGCCATAAAGCTACACTGTTTTTTTTTTTTTTTTTTTTTTTGTTTTGGTGGTTATTAGGACTGGTTGCTTCTGGGCTCAAAGGTGACAAAGAAAGTGAGATAATAATCTTCTATTGGATTCTGATAGAAAAAAAGATATTCTGTGAGAATAATGAACTCAATGTATTAGAATTGATAATAGTAAATTTCTCTACTATTTACAATTGTTAACCAAGAGCGTTGGTATCTTTTCARATTTAGAGAGGCAGGCTTAAATAAAGGATTCAACGTTTAGGATTTAAAAATTTAACTGTACAAGTTAAATTTGACTGTCTGGTAGTTTTTTGTTTTTTTTTTGTTTTTTTTTGCTTCCCTCTCCCTTTGTGGAATATTTTTTTATAGTACCTGTCAAAATTTTTAAAAACTTTTTGATGATGGGGAATTTTGTTAAGTCCTGACATTCACCTAATTGAAGTAGGTTAATGTGTTTTTTAATATGTGCTAAGAATTTTCTAATTCTAGGACACAATGAAGTGGTGACTTTTGATTTAAAAATTTAAATCACTTTTGAAATTGCAGATGCTTCCATTTGATGTTCCTTCTAGTTAATTTCAACAATACTGGTTGGAATACACCAATGGGACAAAGTCATGATGCTGTTAAAAATGTTTTAATTATCCAGTACCTATTTTGGATCAATTTTTAAAAAATGATTTGAGTCCAATAGGTGTTTTCCATCTGTAAAACTCTCTAATATGGATTCAGGAACTAAAAGTAAGAACTGATGGGACGTCTTCTATTAGGAGACATTTTCTATTGGTATTATCTTTAACAAATATTTTCATCTAGTGTTAATATTGTCAGAGGRTGGATTAATAAACAAATATGTCTTTGCTTTTCAAAAACAAGGGCTGTAGCTCAGTATTGAGGTTTTCACTTTATTTCAAATTTTGCATAATAGCTTTGTAGGATAAAATGCCGTGGCTTTTCCCCCCATTATGAGAACTCCTTTATTTTTGGAGGAAATTATTTTATTCTTTAACCCTAGAATTTTCACAGAATGCTCTTACTGCTGCAAGATAAAGTGGTATTATCATGCCATTTATTCAGTTGTATATTTTTTTCATTTGATGGTGAAAACAGTTGTCATTGATAAATATTTATGAACCACACTGTGTCATCTATTCTGTGTCAGGTGCTTGATCTACATTGATGAATGAGAGAGACTCTATAGTGTTTGAGACTAGTGACCTCAGAAGTAAAAATTCTGTGAAAGCTAAGATATGTAGTCAAATGAGTGCCCTTAGTTTTGCCAGTGATTAACATGTTACTTTTATCCATACTTTTAAAAAATGTTAATTTACAACAGTGGTCTAGGTTTTGATGTATAATGGAGAAGAATCTGTTTTTCTCTTAATTAAGAGTACCTGCATAAAGAGTACCTGCGTAGACTCTCAGAGCAAATTTATTGATACATCAGATGGAAATAAAATAAAGATCAGTTTTCCCAGAGCTGGATCTGATTTTTTTTTCTCAAAAAATGATATATATAAGAAAGAAGTTAAATTCCATACTATGGATTAACCACTCTAACAGGTTTTGAATACTTTCTTGAAAAAAATGTCAACTCTGCCTTTAATATTGGAAGGAAATCTGATTATTCACGTTACCATAGATGTTAATATGTAACATTAATAGGCAATGTGTGAAATTGTTCATATGCCATATTTTTAAAGGTTTTAAGAATACTTACTCTGCTCCATTTGCAATATAACTTCTGCTCCATGGTGGGAATTCATTTCTATGAGTGGCAAAAGATGTTAGAATAACAGATGTTTTTTATGAATGAGTTAACCGTTTAATGGCAACTACATGTGAATAAAATTAAACCTTTGTTAGTTCCTTTTTATTTGATTATTTCCTTAACTCATAGATTATTATTTGAAAACCAAGTTTCTTAAAATACTCTTTGAGGTCTGGGGCTGTAGCTCAGAGGCAGAGCATTTGCCTAGCACGTGTTGAGGCACTGGGTTTGATCCATAAACATGAAGAAACAAAGGCATTCTGTCCATTTACAGCTACAAACAAACAAAAAACACTGTTTGAAAAGTCTGTCCCCCAGCTGCTATGTATTATTCTGTGTCCTGTAGACTTTGTTCACTGCTAATCTTTGAGACAGAGTGATAATGTTAATCAGAGGGGTGAAGTGCTTACCTGGAAAATGTAGTTTGAAGATAATTTTAACACAATATTTTTGATGTTCTACGTGCATCTATATTCATGGTCCTAGAACCTCAAATCAGGTTTTACCAAATATATAGTCTTCTCTTTTCAATCAGAAAAAAACATTCTAAATACTTTAGTGTAAAATATTCACTTGAATTTAAAAATTTTGTCAAATATAAATTTAAGAATAAATTATTGCTCCTTGTTGACCTGTTGCTCACCTGTGAAAATAGCAATGTATATTTAGAACTATTTAATAAAAATTCATTCCATTGCACCAATATCCTTATACTTAAGGATAATTAGCTATTGTGTAATAAAAGATCCCAGGGATTATGTAATAACTAATATGGAAAAAAACTACATAGTGGTGGGGGGATCAAGTAAGTAACTATACTGCTGAACTAAAGAGTTCAGTTATTTTTTCAAATGCAGTTTTTTTATTTTAAACATACTCATGAGGGGCTGGGAGCAGACTTATTTTGTATGATAAGGAAGGTATGAAGTGTTAACTCATAGGTTTTAAGACATTTTTAAGAAAATCGCTTAAGAAGGAGTCAGAGATAAAAATGGGCCAAGGACCTGAAGAGACACTTCTCAGAAGATCAAYAAATACATGAAAAACTGTTCTTCATCACTAGCAATTAGAGAAATGGAAATCAAAACCACTCTAAGATTTCATCTCACTCCAGTCAGAATGACAGCTATTATGAAGACAAACAATAAGTGTTGGTGAAGATGTGGGGAAAAAGATACACTCATACACTGCTGGTGAGACTGCAAATTGGTGCAGCCAATATGGAAAGCAGTATGGGGATTTCTTGGAAAACTAAGAATGGAACCATCATTTGACCCAGCTATCCCTCTCCTTGGTCTATACCCAAAGGATTTAAAAACATACTATAGGGACACAGCCACATTAATAGCCTACTATGAAACCAACCTAGGTGCCCTTCAGTAGATGAATGGGTAAAAAAATGTGGCATATATACACAATGGAATGTTACTCATCATTAAAAAGAGAATAAAATCATGGCATTTGCAGGTAAATGGATGGAGTTAGAGAAGATAATGCTAAGTAAAGTTAGCCAATCCTAAAAAACCAAATGCCAAATATTTTCTTTGATATAAGGAGGCAGATTCATAGTGGGATAGGGAGTGGGAGGATGGGAAGAACAGATGAACTCTACATAGGGCAGAGGATTGAAGCAGAAGGGAGAAGGCAAGGGGTAATTAATGATGGTGGAATGTGATGATCATTACTATCCAAAGTACATGTATGAAGACACGAATTGGTGTGAATATACTGTGTATACAACCAGAAATATGAAAAGTTGTGCTCTATATGTGTAATAAGAATTGTAATGCATTCTGCTGTCATATATAAATAAAAGATAAATAAAAAAGGAAATTAMTAAACAAGGAGCCAGAGATAAAAATCATTTAAAATTTGAATGTCTTAAATATTGATTTTTAATGTTCAAAATTGGAACTTAGATTTTTGTTATTCATTTAGAGAAATATAAAAATATCAGCATTTCTAGTATTTAGGTTCACTAAACAAAAATAACAAAACAAGCCCATTTATTGCCTAATAAATAAATGACCAATAAGCAAATTGCAAGGGAATTGCAAGAGGGAACTTGAAGATTAAAACTTTAAGACTGTCAATGAAATGCAATGTGTGGACCATGTAGGAGCCTGATCAGAACAAACCCAAGAATGAAAACACTTGAGACACCTCAGATCTTCAACATCATCCTGATATTCAATGCATCAGAATTAATTCAGGAGAATCACTATCTTTTAGAGGTATATACTGAAATAGTTATGAAATTACAGGTCTGGGTTTTGTTTAAAAATTATCTGTCTAGGGAGTAAAAGGGATGGCAATCATGGATAGTGACTGGTGATGGGTTTGTCATATTCTCTACTTACCCACATGTATTTGACATTTTTCATTAAAAAGCATGGTAGTGAAAATGTATAATAAACAAAACTAGGTATTAAAAAAATCACTATTCTACCATTTGAAAATAGCTTCAAAAAGAACTGAACTTTGGGAAACTTTCTGGGCATAAAATATGAAAGTTTCCTAATGACATTAAGATACACAGTTTAAGCTGATCATATCTGTATTTAAAAGTGTTAGCTGATTTTTATTAACAACTTGACTATCACTTTAGTCACATGAATGCAAATGTTTTGTAAATGTCCTTGCTTTTGTAGGCACTTTAAAAATAATAAGCTGATATTTAGCATCTTTTCAAAATGCATTATAAACTATCATTTTAATATGACAATCATTATGAAGTAAAAAGGATGGTGTTTTTTGCTGTTTTATAGAATCTCAGAGGCCTCTGGTCAAATGGCAGCCCACCCTGAATGTTTTTTCATTTTAATGACATACTTAGAAAAGAAAGGATAAAAAGGGATACAACTTGGCTCAAGCACTCATTTTTATAAAAATGTGTTTTATTTTAAAACAAGTTTATAAAAGTAGAAATCACATACAAAAATACAGATTACTTCCATATGTTGGCAAAATAGCTTATGGCTGGACTTGAGTTTGGAAGTACAGGCWCTGTATGTTTGAGGGCATCCGGAAGTAAGTCCAACTGGATCCTACCACCAGCCCTTGTCACTAATCTGTAAACAATAATTTCAAGTAGTATTTAGCACTTTTTAGCTAATAAGAAATAGACACATAATCATCTCCTTGTGTAACACTACTTWAAAATTTTCTTCCTTAGGTCTGAGCAGATAAGGGCACTTCATGCTACTGTTTTTAACATTTAAAATMTTTGATTAAAGTAAAACCAGTTAATAGAAAAATGATGGATTTTGGCTTTTTTGTTACATTTTGCACATATGGGGAGGTCACTGACTTAAAACTAGTGTTTTTGTGATTTTTTAAAAGCAGAACTTGATCTTTTTGCCTTGACGAGAGAGGTTTTTTAATAAAACAAACCCACTCATATTACTAAAAGGTTCAACACCTGAGTACTAACTCTTACATAGGTGCCAGTGCAGACTGTCCTGAAACTGCATGGAAAATACACTTGCTTCTAGTGTGTACTTCTGATTTACCGGAACAAGCAATTCTTACAATCAATAACCCTATAAAGTGGGTAGTTTCAAACAATTATTGCAAAAGACCATATTTWAAAAAGGCAATTTAAAATACTTGATTCCAGAGTAATATACAAATAAACTTAGCACTAAAGGAAAACAGCAGGCAGTATCAGTTCAGAACTCTTTCAATTTTTCAAGAATAGAGACTGATTAGGTTAATACCACCTTCCTAAAACAAAGCAATTCATTTAAAAGCTAAACTCATGTTAACGTAATTTGATTATAAAATTAGAAACCACAATTATATTTCAGGAACACAGTACCTTAGTGATATTAAAGGATACTTCTGATTAACCTGGCATAGAAAATTAYGTCTTGAGCCTTCACATCCTATACCAACTCTATACCTCTGGCCATATGTTTAATTTGTTTRAGAGTTTAAGATGTGGGGATATGTTTCTGTTAAGCTAATTTCAAATCTTAAGATAGAAATGAAATTTTTTTTTAATTCCCAGATACCTTAAATGCTACTATCTTATGACTCTTTCGGTTCAGCTCACCCTACACATACCTTATTTTTCTTCCAAACTATGTCTTATTAAACAATACTGAAAAATTAAATAGATAAAAAAGTTATCACAAAGGCTATAAAAATCATTAGCCGTAAGTCATTTTTTAAGCTTGATTCTAAATAAAACTTAATCCAAAGGGCACTTGGAGAAAATGGCACAAATTTTGCTATGTAAAAAAGTAAATTGAAATCATAGGCTCAAACTCCTAAAAYTTCTGATGGCCTACAACTTAGGTTCTTAAGGGCATAGCGTTGACAGAAACTTTTATAGTTATTTWAAAAAAGGCAACACTTCATTGTTTTCCCTTGAAAATGGTTTCCTAATTTACTTGCAGGATAAAGGTTAAGGGAAAACGAATAATAAAAACTAGCCGAGTGCTCAGTAATTGGGCTTCCTGCCTRCTTTCCCCATTCCAAAGGAAGAGGAGACACCATCCTACAAGAAATAATTTCATAGACAGCTGGACTTTTGCAGTGTCAGTCGGCACCTGATGCCCCATATCTTCTGGTTCTTTTTGTTTCTGACAGTTGGCCTGGCAATGGTGGTGAAATAGGAGCAATTAATTTGCAGATGAGGAAGGGCTTCCCSTAACAGTTGAAGGGTACCATCTGGCACGATTCCAAAAACTTKTAGTGTTTTTAGTGTGGGAATTTCTCCAAGTTCACTGGAAAGGAAGAAAGATACTTTTAGAGGAGCAATATCTAGGGAAACTATTGACTCACTACATGGCCCAGTTTTTACTTTTGTACCACATTTCACAAAATGCAAATTGGAAGCAATTCACAGTAAATGATTTGAGGAAATGTAAAGGTGGAACAACCTGGAAATCATACCTGTGCCATTTGCTAAATGAGACTCCTAACAACCTTTGAATCCTCTCCAAGGTTTACTTGAAATCCAACTGTGTTTGCTTCCTTTCTCCATTCTTGATCTCAAAGGGGTTACTGTGCTGTGAGGCAGCAAGCTCGTGATGATTAACATAAATGTTTTGCTGTGGCATCAGTTGGAACCACCACAGACGGTGGTGGATTTTAAGGATGTGGACATGACCTTCATTTGAAAGACGCTCCAACTCTCAAAAGATTTCAGCAGGGTTTTTGATAATAGTTCACAGTGAATAGGTCCATTATATGTGATGAAACTTACCAGTGACTTCCCTAAGATCATGGAGTTGGGTGCAGATTAAGAGAAAAAAAAAAATCTCACTTTTCTAGGGGGCAGGAGCCTCTTAAAGCTATTCTATGTATTACCATTTTACCTATCACAGATAGGTGAGTCAGTCCCCTTCTTCGGTGTTTTATATTAGGTGAAAAGCAACTGTGTCAACAGTGAGATTTTGGTTCACAAAAAAGAAAATGAAGCCTATTTCCAAATGTAAATACTTTTTGGTTTTGGTAATGATTCTTAACACAAATCTATGTGCCTAGAAATTCATCTCTGATCTGTATTTGCTCCAGGTTGGGACAAAGTACAAAGTCTCAGGAAACAGAACATTTATTTTGGAATTTCAACAGAAGCCCACTGCAGATCAATGAACAGCACATCAATGACCTTGAGTTAGAAGCATCCTTTGGGTTTTTATTGTCAATAATTACTCAAATGTGCATTTTTAAGAACTGTCACATGGCCTCCAACCTCTTCCTTCAAGCACATTCTACACCATTATCCAAGGAGTCCTTATAAAGCCTTGCTCAGATTATGGCACTCATCCACCCCCAAACCTTGGGTGTTTCCTGCGACTATTCAACAGGCTATAAGACCTTCTGTTCTAAACCGGCTCTTCCAGCCTTCCCACTTTCCCTCTAAACTGAATTTATTCTACATTTCAGAAAGGGTCTTAAGTACCACAGATATTTAATAGATGTTAGTTTAATACAAGATGATGGGTACTGTGGAAAACAAAAGCACTATTCAAATAAATTATGCTTGTTCATAGGGGGACAGTGAGATCTGAAGGTCATAACAAATCAAAAAAAAAAAAATCAAGAAGAACAAATAGCTGTTGTTTTTAAAGCAAGCTACTTTCTGGACTGTGGAATCAAGTCCCGATCCATAGATCTTTATACTTATTACTGAAGATGATCATTATCCCATCTAACTTCACATCCTTCTTATGTGAAATCTAAGTGTATAAGAACCGTATGACTCTGAGAATTCTGGTTCTGGGATAACCAAAGCAGCTGAGTTGTGAATCATTCTGCAGCGGGTAATATTTAAAAGGAGCTGTAGGTGGGAGTGAGAAAAGGAGGAGGGATGACAGATGGCAGAGGAGGAAATGTTCCCACAACAGCATTGGAGAGAGATTTGTTGAGGATGGAAATCACACAGCCCTCTCAGAGTCACAGAAGGGAGCCACATGGGATGGGCTGAGGGGTCAAAGATCAGAGTCTTCAAAATTTTAAAGAGGACAAAAACACCGCCTCTTGTTACATGCATTACCTATAACAGAGAAACTGCAAGCATCTCTGACATTACATGGAGAATGTAAATGAACGCAGCGATACTGAACTGAAATGAGCTTAAAAGCCATTATTTCTAATTTAAGAAGTGTAAAATGACGATGGTAATGTCTTCAGGATCTCTTTTCAATTTTAGTAAACAAAAAATCTTTATAAACTCACAGTTTACTCCTCATCTACATAATCCTATTTTCCTTTTTAAAACTGAAAATGCCTCAACTGATTCTCCTAACAAGAATGTTTAAGTCTCTCCTAATGTGAGAGATCAATTTACTCTCCTCATCTTAGATTTCTTACTTAAGTGGTAAAGGCAATATTTAGAAGAGAGTTTAGATGTGGGAGATAAGACCAATTTAGGAATAAGGAAATAAATATGAGAGGATGTGAGGAGGAAAAACCTGAAGTTTGTCAGTATTTCTCAATTATTATTACAGAACAAACATTCAAATTTTATTTTCCCACTTCTTAGATAAGGGGTCAATAACTTTGAATTCTTTAGCACAGATGACTGGCTCTCTGGAAATTATTGTTGAGGCACCTGGAAGTTTTGATTAGGAATTTAAAATATATCAGCTGCAGAATGAAATTACTGGGCAAGGCATTTTGTTTTGAGAGACTTAAGGATAGGGTATGAACAAACAAAATCTTAAGGGATTTATCATGTAAAACCATCATACTGTTTACATTATACCTAAAGAAACACTCTTGGCCTTAACATTCAAGGACAGTATCTTTCTTCTTGTTCTCACTCTTTGCTGGCACTCTGACTTGTAACTAAACTCCTGATGCCCATTTCTCTTATTTCAAGGTAAGATTTAGAAAACTAAGTAATAATGCAGAGAAGGTTCACACCTTCTCTGTAATGATTCCAGGCCCAGGCCTGAACCGTCAGTTCACACTGGCTGTGCGGATTACTAATACAGGTAGTACAATTATCCCGTTGGACACAAACATTAAAATATCAGGGCTCACAGCCCTCCCCTCACCTCTGGTTGAGGAAAAGTGTCTGGGTTATTACCTTCTTAGCTTCTTTGTTTCTGCAGAGAAGGGACCAAAACAAGACATATGGATAGATTCTCTTGAGAAAAGAAACCAGAAAAGAATTCTCTCCTGGCAAAGAAGTGGGAGCCCAGATGGCAAAGGCAGGAGAGAAAAGATGACAGAGAAACCTTTTTGGGTAGACTCTAGAGGCTCCTAGGAGTTCTGGATGCTAGAAAATAGAGAGGCAGGAATTTTAATTAGAGTCCCATGTTTACGAGTTTAGATCCCAACATTTGAGAGCCATGCAGGTAAACAGTGGCATCTTTTTTAGGTAATGCTTTTCCAAATGAGATACCAGCTAAATCCCTGAGCCCTGACATTCATTCATTAAAATAATTAATCATACAAGTACCAGATTTCCCAATATTAGTTAACCTGATATAGCTGAAGTATCTGATTTAAACATTAACTACGAAAATCTAATTTACAAGATCCAAACCATTAATTTGAGAACTAAATAATGTTTTGGTTTAAATTCACCACCTTCCTTAGGTAGGTAGCTAAATCTAAGTTACCGTCATTTGGATACTGAGCTAAATGAGCATAGCAGCCTAATATGGAGCATATATTGACTGACTGTAATAAAGAGCACCTGACCAAGGGCAAAATACTGACCTCTTGTGGTTTGCAGTGAAATTGCTATACATTTACATTAGTCATTAGGAAGACTATTACAGCCCTCTGGGATAAAATAAAGGAAAACTTTTAAAAATGAAGAGACAATGACACTATTCCCAAGACACTTTGGGTATAAATACTTCCTAAAAGAAAGATGGATTCAATTGCTTTTATTTCTTGACTGTAGAAATTGTTAAGCAGGTAAAATTAAACCTTGGATGAACCACCAAACTCTTTTTGCATCTTTCCAGGAACTCTCAAATTTAGACCCAGCTCAGGCAGTAACTCACCATCACACCTGGGTAAGTCACTTCACTGACAGCCCTTCTGCTCAGACAGCATGGAGACTCTCATGAATATACACCACCTACATGCTATGACTCTTCATGTTCCTTGACCATCCAGGTGGTATATCACTCTTACAGAACTTTTTATTTAAGTCCAGATGAAGGCTTTTGAGTTAACTAGAGCTGATTTGAAACTTTTTTTTTTTTTTTTTTTTTAGCAGGGGGTGGGGTAGGCAGGGAAACCCATTCACTCACATGGGGTCTGCCTTCCCAATTATACTCCGAGTGCTCTGGAAGTAAAGGCTTGCTTAAGCTTCTTTTGCAAGTCCTTCAAAGACACCACACAGTATTCTCGTATTTTAAAATGCTGACAGTGTGATAACAAATGTTTAGTGAACAATCTCAGTCAACTCAACTTTATTAGATATTCCAAGCAAGAACTCTGCTTTGGCTTTTCTATTTTGCTGGTCTTTCCCAGCTAGCTTGTATATGCTAATCTTAATATTTAAGTTGAAATGTTTGCTATTATTAGTGACGGATTTTAACACCAAATGGAATCTCTGTTGGTTCCTGTCTTCTACAAGAATTAAAAAATAAATAAAATTTTAAAAATATAAATAAAAAAATACAAAACCAAAACATACTCACAGTAGAGTTTCAGGAATTATATCATAGCACCGACTGAGTGACAGGTGTTGGAGGTAGCTGAGCTGGAGAAATTCTGGAAAGCAGTCATGCTTTAGCATGACACTGTCACTGTAACAGAGCAGAAGAGAGGACATTCAAAACCACCCTGGATGGAGAACGCCACTGCTCAGTTCCTTCCATTCAACATTAGGGTCCTCTCCCCCAATCAATGAGCAGTCCAGAGTTTTCAACTTTTGATTTAAAATAAAAAACAAAAACATACCTTAAGTCCAGATGGACAAGGTTGGGGCATCTTCTGACTAAGGTAGAGACATCTAGGAAAAATGAAGAAATATGATGGTCACTGCTAAATGAGGAACAAGACAAGGATATTAGTATCAATACTACCACATTTAATGATTGTGCTGCAGGTTCGAGACAATGCAATTTAACGATGCACTATTAGAAAGAAAAAACCAAAATGATCACCTTGGTATATAAAAGTTTCTACTAAGAAAACCTAAGAGTCCATCTGAAAGACTACTGGCAGTGTTGAGAAGGCTGTGTGAAATGACTGGCTAACAACAACCCATAGCTTAATTATGTATCAGCAACTGGTGGGATAAAAACAAGGAACAAAACAAAACAACAGTACATACAGACAAATACACAGGCGGCACTTCAAACCAGTGAGGAAATCATGTCTTAAAAAACAGTGTTGGGATGGGCTTATGGCTCAGTGGTAGAAGCACTTGCCTTACCTGGGTGAGGCACTGGGTTCAATCCTCAACACCACAAAATAAATAAATAAATAAATAAAATGATATATCCCAACAAATTCCACATATAATATAGGCAATTATTTATTGAATCTTGGGATATATAAAGACATATAGGAAACACTTATAATATACTACATATATATTTGAAAATTCTACCATGCAAGGGCTGGGGATGTGGTGCTTAGTGGTAGAGTGCTTTCATGGCTAAGATCCTGGATTTGATCTCCATACTGAAGGGGAAAGTCTACCACGTTGGAATAAAAAAAATTACGGAAATATCAGAAAACTGGGAATAAATGTTTTCAACACAAGTTAAACAGTTAGTAGTCTTACTGTACACATAAGAGAAATATATATATGTGCATATACACACACATATACATATATGAAAAAAATAGCAGTCAAAAAGAAAATAAAGTAACAAATACTAAATAAAATTAAAAATACCACTTTTCAGCCATCAAGTGAAAAAAATTCTATTCTAAGCACCCAGACCTGATGAAATAATTGATGAAACCGTCCACCAGAAATGGATATTTGATTTTATAAGCAGCCTTTCCAGAGGCTGAAAGTGATTTCTTTTCTTTTTTCTTTTTGGATGCTGAACTGATATTTTAAAGCGTATTCAAAGCAATATACATCATTTTACCTTTTGGTCTAGTTGTTTCACTTAGAAAAATGCAGATATGCAAGAACATACTGACTGTAGTAATAGTTACAAATACCTCTCCTTCAGGTAGTTTAGTTTGTTAACCTTTGTCTATTTAATGAAATATAATACTAATCATTATTATTAAAAATATTTTTTTTTCTGTGACATGAAAAAACATTAGGAGATACACTGAAAACAAAACTTCTACAATCCAGTGTAAACTCTATTTAGTTGTGCATGCACACACACAAACCCACTTACATATACAAACTCACAGAAAGACAGGAAAGAAAAAACCCTAGAAAAAAATATTCCAAAATGTTAACTAGTAAGGGGGTTGGGATTGTACAGATAACGTTTCAGAATTTAGAAAAAGTCACACAAGCTCAACAATATGAATCAATAAATGTGATTTATGCAAAACAACAACAAAATTTCTCTATCGTTGAGGATTTTTTTTCTTCTCACAGCTATATTTTTGGCCACATCATCTTCTCTAAAGTCTAGACTTTCATTTCCAACCGCCTTCTCAACTTATCCAGTTCAGGTATATGATGGCATCCAACTTACATCTAAAAGCAAATACTCAGTATGTCCCCTAAATCTGTTCCTTCCCTAAAGTTCTTCTCATCTCAGAAAGTGATAACTTTATGGATCCAGTTGCTTAGGCCCAAACTCTAGGAACCACATTTGACTGTTTTTCTCACTGCCCACATCCAATCTGTCTCCAAATCTTGCTATGCTGGATTTCAAAATGCACCCCAAATCTGATCATTTCTTAGTACCATGAATGTTATCACCCTCGTCTCCTAACTGTCCTCCCAGCTTCACACTTTCCCCCCTGGCACTAGAGTAAGCCCTTTTTAAAAAAGGCAAGTCAGAACCAGGCTTGTTGGTGGTGCATGCCTGTAATCCCGGTGACTCAGGAGGCTGAAGCAAGAGGACTTCAAGCTTGAGGCCAGCCTCAGCAGTTTAGTGAGACCTCATCTCAAAACAGGGCTGGGATATAGCTCCCCTGAGTTCATACCCTACTAACACACACACACAGGGCAGGCAATTCAGTTCATAACACTGTTTGACTCAGAATATTCCAATGGCTCAGAAAAAAACCCAAAACTTTTTCTTTGGCTTAGAGAGCCCTTGGCTGCCTGTTCTCCCTTGCTCCTTCTCACATACTGGTTGCCATGTCAAGCTTTTGCATCTGCTGGTCCTTTGTTCCAGAATGTTATCTCACAAATCCACATGGATTTCTCCTTCACTCAACCAGGGCTCTGCACAAGCATCACCTCCTCAGAGAGGGCCTCTGTTTCACCAGTCCACCTAAGAGTAGTCTTCTCCATCCACATTCCACCTGCTCATCTGCTTTATCTTTCACAACATTTGGGAGTTTTGTTCACTGTCTGGCTCCCACATAGAATAAAAGCCGAATCAGTGTGACTGTCTTCATTTTGTTCAGGGCCACATTGTTATGTAACTCTGGAACACAGCTACATATAACCTGGTGCTCCATCAACATTTATTCAATGAATGACCGCAAAATGAAGAAAGTGCATAATACAGTTTTGGGTGACCAACTGTCTAGTTGGCCAACTAGCCATCAGTAAAATTATAAAATCTTTGATACCACCAGAGGAAAAACCAAACAGAGAAGGGATAAAATTAGTCTCCCTTTCCATTCCTAATTTAAGCCTTGTCTTCCCTGGGTGGGAAGTGTTAGTAAACAGTAGTCACTGACAAGATTCCCTTTTCACTGTTCCCTTCACTTGGCCACAAACAGATCTACTAAAGCTAGAAGGGATCTTAAAAACCAGGCAATCCAACCTGTCACTTCAGAGCAGAGCTGATATCTGCTGGGAGTCAAGGTCAAATGCAAGATGAAAAGCTAGGTCCTCCAAGATCACATTGCGCTTATCTCATTAACTGCCTGCCCCACAGGGAGGGAAGTGATACTGGCTGGTGATGCTGAAATAACAGCCAACAGTAACTCTCACCACGTGCCAAGAACTATTCAATGTGCTGCACGTACATCAACTCATTTATTCTTTATTATAACTCTAAGAGGTAGGTCCTATTATTATACCCATTTTGCCGATGAGGAAACAGGAACAGAAAATAAGGAAATTGCTCATGGCTCTCCAGTAAATGGCAGAATGGGTATTTGGAACCAGGCAGCCAGGCACCAGTTTGTGAGCTAAAACCAAATCCATATTATCTTATATATAACACAATATTGTGTCCTACACTAATGGCATTAATTAAAATTTTTATTTCCATGGTGTATTTAAGAAAACTATCACTTTTAATTTATACTCTCTTTGTCCTTGAGCTGAATGTATCTAGTAAGCTGGATTTTATTATCTATAATTCTTAATTAAAACTTGGTAAACAACTTATCTTCACCTTTTCTGGAAGAACAAAAAGAAGAGTTTAATCTATACTCAGGCAAAATTAAGAGCAGTTGCTTTATGGCAGTTTTTCAAGCCTACAACAAGTTCAGTGTCAGAAGATGTCAGAATCTCCCACTACCTCATTAATGTATGGTGAGACTCTGGTGCAGGAAGGGACTGTACCTAGAGCACTGCCAACCCTTCTCCTGAGCATGAGCAGGGAAGAACCAAGTGTGGTGGTATTCAAGGGGGAGGATATCCTGCACACTGGTGGTATTTTAAACTCCTTGGAAGGTGGTCTGGAAAGAACTAGCCAAAGCTTAAGAACCCATTCTTGGAAATGTGCCCGAAGATTTGTCTCTGTCCATCCCAAAGTTATTTCTAGAAGTGAGAAACTCAAAAGATTCTAAATGTCCATTAGAATATCAGCTGCATAAATTATTATTGTTTAATATAAATTATTCCATATTCAGTTGATGGTGTATCATATGGCTGTTGCTGATGTACAGTCACTGAAAATGGAGCTATTTGGAGAGAAGGCACACTACAAACTAGTATTCCATATATTAAATTCCTACACTCAAATGAGCTAGTTACCAACATCAAGACATGGTGGATGTGTGTCACTGGATTAACTAGGTTTTATGCAGCCCAGACTGAGACTGCAATGTGAAGCTATTGAAAAAAAAAAAAACCTTTCCACTTGTAACCTTGTCCTCTAATTCGCTAGCTATTTACCTTCACCTAACCCTTCCTGATCAGCAGTTTCTCCCCTGGAAAAGGAAATAACACAGGCACTGGGCTAACTTTGAGATAACTTAGGAGCTGTTTAATATATCATATTTATTTGTACTATTAAAGCCTCAGTTGCCAAGGCCCGGAAGTTCAAACCTGATTTCTGAAGATTCTTTCGGTAGCCACTAAGATTCAGCTGGGTGATGGTCTCTGACACATGTGCGACAGCCACCTGCACGTGCTTTTCAGTGAACTCATAGCACCAGGAGAGGTTCAGCTCATCCAGTCTGCACAAAAGGAAGGTAATAAGGATAACGTGAACATATCACACAGGAATGAATTTGCCTCAAGCAGTAAATAAAGAAAATATAAAACCAGAGATTCCGTACAGTTTTATGCACAGAACACCCACTGTTCTAAGCATCTACCTTTGCTCATCTGAAACTGCCTTCTTCCCTTTGACATTTCCCTACCCCATTTGCTCCTGAAAGTTGCTCAGGGGATCTGAGCAAAGATCCTAGTGTTTCCCTCTTCTGGAAATAAAGGGGAGCCCCCTCCTCTCCTGCAGACTCAATCCTCATCTCAGGACTGTAAGTGGAAATGCCAGCCTATATGTTTTCATTCTCAAACCATCTAGGTGGTGGGCGAACAACCAGACAGACTGAGCAATCACTGAAAACATTTTACAAAACTGGTAGATGGTAGTAAGGGTTGTAAAATGCCACTTTGTCTAATGTGCCTCTGTTAACTGAATCAATGAGGTTTTCAAAGACAATCATCCACTAAGTCACACCTTCCACTTCCCAAAATCACTAGATTAGCACTATACATCTATATCTTATTGATGACATTCTTATCCAAAGGCAATTGACTTTTAGCAGATCACTAATAAGACACAGGTACAAATGCTATATACCAGAGACAAAGGAATAGTTTAAAAAAAAAAATAACATACTACACACACATACACACACACAGTACTGTGTATTCTATAAACCATGTATCCCCTCACTTAGAAATATCTCTAACTCTGTACCTTTTATCACTGACATTATAAAAGATGTTAATGGAATCACTCACATCTATTATGGTTTATACTTAAAATGTACCATTTTTGATCAAACCTGCAAGTTAGGTCTATAGATATTATAGGGGAAAAAACTTGACTACATAAGTCAAGTGTAAACAGATTTCTTTCACCTACACTGTGATAAATACACCACATTCCCCCTGCTTTCATAGTAACAAATAAACAGAAAAAAAGAAATCACTATACAAGCATCTCTCCCATAAAAATGGAATTGATTTGATTCTAGAATTTAGCAGGAAAGTTTTGCAAAGCAAAGGATACTGTGCTTTGTCAAGAACGAGGAGAATTAAGAATAGCTCAGAAAGTTCATCCAGCTCTGCTCAGATGTGAGGGTAACTGCACCCGATTCAAGAGCTCTATAATCAAGGCTCAAATCTTTCCTACCTGGAACAGCTGCTTAGCAGAGTCTTCAGGGCAGACTCAGAAAATCCAGCACACCCACAAAGGTTGAGTCGTACTAAATTTGAGTTCTGCGCAAGATTACTAGAAAAAGAGAAAAATGCCAAAGGAATACCGATGAGGCACTCTTGTTCAATCAATAGGAACTTGGAGGAAAGCAAGTTAGTGTCCTAAGTGCACAGGCCTTTGAATGAGATTGAGTTTAAAATTCACATTTCACTATCTCTGGGACACTCAGCACGGTTCATTGCCTCATTTTATTCACCTGGGCAATGGCCATAGCAGTATCTTCTTTGTGGGGATATTAGGAAGATTAAATGATACAATGAAATAAAGGACTTGGCACAGTATCTGATACAGAGTAAATGCACCAGAAACACTGATCAATGTACTTTTCAAATTAAAAAAAAAAAAAAAAGCAAGCAATGGGATGAACATTAATTCCATTTGTAAGCAAATTTCCACATGTAAAAAGTCACAAGGTTCTTGCAATATTACATCACTTAAATTTGCCCTCTCCTCTACTACATTCCTAAATACCTTGTTGAGGGCAACTTAGTGATTAAGAGCCATTATTCTGAAATCATGTCTTAATGACAGGTTCAAATCTTGATTCATCACCCACTAACAGTGTGACCTTGGACAGTGTGACCTTCAGCCTCTGTGTGCCTCAGTTTCCACAGCCATAAGAAGGAAACAATAAGAACATATTTCATGGGATCCTCTCAGAATGGAATGAGCACACACTTAAAGAGCTCACTTAGTACATGGCACCAGCAGCTTTACCTCAGCTGCATCCTTTGTCCAACAGTTCTATGTGAATGTCTTTAATACCTGACTCACAAGTCACTTCCTCTGAGAAGGCTGTCTTCCCCAAATTTAACTGGCCTCTCTCAATGCCTCATAGTCACCAATCCATTTAACAAACATGTTGCACTATAATTATCCATCTCACCCATGAATGAGGCATGGATCGTGCATGAAGTTCTGGAAAGTTCTACAGAAGTTGGAGCACTGCACGAGATATTTTGTGTGTCCATCTGGACACGAACGGAAGTGGCCCCTAGTTACAGACAGGGTACACGTTTAACAAATACAAGAAAATGCCTTTGTCACATGTTTTGGTTGCTACTCACTTGACAATGGGATCAGAAAGCTGGAGGCCTTCCAGGCTTAGATTCTGCAACTTGGAGCACTGAGACAGAATGCCATGGAGGGTAGATASGTTTATAACTGAGTTAGACAGATCCAAGTGCTGGACACGAAAAGGGCTGAATAAAGAGGACAAAAAGGAGTTCTCCGTGAGGTGGCTGCCACAAGTGCACTCAGGTCCTATCAGGTCCTTTCTTTTCCCCAAATGAGCAATCCATCACAAATAAGACCCTAAATACACATTTCATGTATTGAATATAGTTCTGGTCATAAAACAAATTGCTACTTGTTGTTGCCCACTCTTTTTTTTTTTTTTTTTTGTAAATTCAAAAGGATCTTTGCCAAGTGCAGACACTGCTGCCAATACTGTCCCAGTTCCTATGATGATCCTGGTTCTGGCGAGGGTGAGTGGGTACGTGGCAGTGGTTATGCACTAGAACAGGGAAGACAGAAGAGGAGGCCAAGTTTAATTTTAGATATGCTAACATTGAGGTACTTGGAAGAAATTCAGGTTTGGAAGTCTTTAGTTAATTAGAAATAGGGAGCTTAAAAGAGAAGGCTGAGCTACAGATAAGGATGTGAGAGTCCTGAACATAAACATGTCTGAGAACAGCACGTAGATGAGAAGAAAAGCAGCCAGGAATGAATTCTGGAGAGAACAAAAGGAATCACACATGTACAGAAGACTAAGAAAAGGCATGAGTCGGGGAGAAAGAAGCCGGGACATGATTCAATGATGGAGAGAAGGGAAAAGTCCTAGGGTGGGGAGACACGTTTCACCCTTAGCTCTGCTGTGGCCGGCTTCTTTCTCTCTTCAGTGTCTAGTTATTCTACTCAAGCGTGAGACAGCACCAACCCTTAATGCTGCATAATTAGCAGTGCCAGAGAAATATTTTTTCAAAACAGTCTACCAAACAAACAAACAACAAAAAAAGAAACCAAAAACAAAGAGGGATTCCCCCCACCCTCCCATTGTAAATCTGCCCAAGTTTGTCCACAACAGGACTGAAAGCACAAGCTACAAATCTGAAAACACCACTTGTACGTTTCTGTTTGTCAGAAATGGGCAGTGGGGAAAGACAGAGGCTGTTTGTCGCGTGCCTCGAATCTTCACGATCTCTACCTGCTGAGGACCCAACAAGAAAAGCTCAATGAACACCTTTTGTGTTTGTGTGTGTGTGTGTGTGGGGGGGGAGTGATACTGGGGAGCAAACTCTGTGCCTCATAAATCTAGGCTAGTGCTCTACCACTGAGCTACATCCCCAGCCCCTCAATGAACACCTTTAACCCCAGGAAGAGTACAGTAGAAACCCTGAGTTAAAATCAGAGTGACATCACTGAAACCTGTGCCATATTTCAACCCGAAGGCCACAGGGCACGATGTGTACCTAATGTCCCACACTGCAAAGAGGATCTGTCACAGGCTGTAAGGCTGGATAAAGAAACAAAGGCGTCTTGCTCTGTGTTCACCTCAAGGTTTAGAAAAGAGCCTTTTTTAGGGAGTTTACTTTTTTACCTGCAATGTTCAACCAAGGGTTGGTCCACAAATGATCGGGGGCAGCGGAAGGCCACCACGCCTCGAGACAGCAGACGAACGATCACATCTGGGTGCAGATTTTTACCTGTGAGGTCCAGGGTTTGCCAGAGAGATTCATCAAACCTAGAAAAGAGGAGGTGCTTGACTTGGTAAGTAGTCACAGGTAATGCTGGAGGCGCTCAAAGATATTACTAACCAGTGAGACACAGCTGCTAAATCCCCTTGAAGGAAATTTTACTTCAAAGATGACTATGCAAATAGCTAAGATATTTTAAAGACACTACTAAATATTTCTTGATCATAATATGAATAAACTTACACATTTTACTTTTTATATATTTCTAATTTAAGTGATTCAATGCTAAAATTAGCACTTTCAATGATCTAGAAGCAGAGAATAAAATTTTAATTTTCAGGGGCTGGGGTTGTGGCTCAGCGGTACAGCACTTGCCTTGCATGTGTGAGGCACAAGGTTCAATCCTCAGTACCACATATAAATAAATAAAGGTATTGTGTCCATCTACAACAATAACAAAAAAATTTTTAAAAAGCTGAATATTATTTTAAAAATCTAGTTTTCAATTCAATATGACAACTTTAAAACTGATTATTCAAGATGGATGTGGTGGCACATGACTGTAATCCCATGGGCTTGGGAGGCTTGAAGCAGGAGGATCTCAAGTTCAAAACCAGCCTCAGCAAAAGCGAAATGCTAAGCGACTCAGACCCTGTCTCTAAATAAATACAAAATAGGGCTGGGGATGTGGCTCAGGGGTCAAGTGTCCCTGAGTTCAATCCCCAGTCCTGCCCCCACCCCCAAAACTGATTATTCAAATCACTTGATTATTTACTAGATGAGCAGTTTCAAAGTTTCTTAAATGATACCTCTTGCCATTGTCATTAAGCATGAACAGACCTGGCTTGGTGGGGCATACCTACTATCCCAGGTGGGGCATACCTACTATCCTAGTACTCAGGAGGCTGAGAAAGGAGGATTGCAAATTCAAGGTGATCTTTTGTAAGTGAGGGAGACCCTCTCTTAAAATAAAAAATAAAAAGGCCTAGGGACATAGTTTATAGCTCAGTGGTAGAGTGCCTTGGATTCAATCTCTAGTACTGAAAAACAACAACAACAACAAAATCTGTGAAGAGATCACCACAATTTCCAAAAGTAACATGCAAACAGAACTTAAGAAACAAAGTTATTCTATTTTATCACTATTTTATTATGAGATACAGCTATCATAGATATTGTCTAGGAAAAAGCAGTCATAGTTCAGCTCTGCTTTATAGTATCTTACACTGAAATCAATCACATGCACCCATATGTGTATGTATGTACATGTGTGTATGTGTACTACTGTGAAAGAAAAAGGGAAAATATTAGGTTACAGTGTTTCTAAAATAAAAGGGAGGTTCAAAAAATGTATCCACAGATGAATTCAAGCAAATGAAATAAAATGTGAAATATAAGCACATGAGGGGATATTCTCAATTCTTAGGTGCAGTAGAATTTTCTTTTTTTTTTTTTTAATAGTACTTGAAATAAGTGGCCCACTGGCCAGGGTTTTGAAACTTTTGGTATATAGAAATTATCAGTGTGTGATTTGACCCCTATTATTAGAAAAGGGCAGACTGTAGATAAGATATCCATAAGARACTGGAATGCTTTGAATCTTTCTCTTGCCCAGACAAAAATCTACTTCCAAGAAAATGACACTGGATTACCCGCTGGTTATCTCAGATCTCATGCCTGACATTTCTATTTGCACGGAGGCAAAAACAGCTTACTAAGCATTCTGTAACAACCTGGGGAAATTTCTGGAACATTCACATTGTTCCTGAATAACATCCATCTTAAGCATAGACAGGAAGATGAATTCAAGAGCTGTCTGAACCCCAAGCCAAATATAACTAGTTAGGGTTACAGCTGTGTAGTCAGCTGGACCTTAGATTCTTGTTTTCCCACTTACCTCTCAACCTACTGTTCCTAAAACTGAAATAGTATGGATATTGTCACTTAAGACTATATGGAAGATTAAACTGATAACACAGCCCCTGGCACATAGTAAGTGCTTAATAAATATCATTGATTTACATTTCTGACAATTGAAATGAAGAGCAATGGACTTCAAGAGGGGGAGATAGAGGTCGAAGATACAAAGCAACAGATATGTAGGCTAAGTAAGTCTCAAGATCTAAGATACTACATGAGGACTGCTAGGAATATTGTAGTGTATTTGGGATTTTTGCTAAGAAAGTATATTTTAAGTGTTTTTGCTACAAAAGAGAGAAAAGGGAACTGTGAAATGATGGATTTATTCATTTCCTCAAGCACAGAACTATTTCACTATTTGTATATTAAACCATCATGTTGCATACCTTAAATATGTACAACACAATTTTTTTTTTTTTAAAGGCTGAGATTTTGCATGGAGTGGACAAACGCACTGCTGGTGGGAAAGGAAAACCAAAGTGGGGTTTCCTGGGTGGGGAGAAGTAAAGCTCAGCCATCGTGCCAGCACTACAGGCGTGCAAATTCTTTCACCTTCTAAGCATACAGCCTGCTCCTGCCAATGCCTATGCTGTCTTGTTTCCAGACACCCTGGAAGGCCTCCTGCTGTCTCAYGAAGGGAGTTCTGAATACGTGGAGAGAGAAACCAGATAGATGGTCTCCAAACACAAAAGCGGAGATGGGGAAGGGTGGAACTGGTTAAAAAAAAAAAAAAAAAAAGAAAGTTTCGATTAAAAAGCAGCCTCAGGACTAGGAATGCAGGTCAGTGGCAGGGTGCGCCTAGTGCACAGGATGCCCTGGGTTCCATCCCCAGCACTGGAAAAATAAACAACAACAAAAACCTCAGTCTTTTTCTTGCTTCAGGCCTGTTACTGTCTTCCCAGCCCACCATCTACACCTAAAAATTGTTACCAAAAAACACCTAGGGTGGTACTCAACATGCCCGGGAGGCAGGCACTGCACCAGCAGTACAGTTTATCCTCACAGCCACACTACACTGAGGGAAGCATCACTGCAGGCTTACACAAGGGACGGGGAGGCCGAGGCTAGTTAGCATCAAGTACCTCACTCAAGTCGTGCAGAGTGTAAGAGGCAGAGGCGAGGCTCACACGGGGATCTGTGCTCATACCTGGCCTCTGGAGTGAGGCACACTGTCTTTATGGCTTTCCAGAACTCTCTCTGCTCTTAGCCCACTGCTTGGCCCAGACAACACACCTGGTAAACAGGTGCCAAACTGAATACCAGGCCAAGAAGTTGTCAGAAAAGGGTAAAGTTTACACTTCCAGGAAACTCCTCTCTTCCACTGTGAAACGAAGACACTATTATTAAAACTAAGACAGTCTGCTAGGGCTTCTGTACCTTTCTTGGCTTTTAGTTTCACCAGACTGACGTGAATTCATCTCTTTCCCTTCCTCCCTCATCTGTGCCAAAGGGGTGCAGAATACTTACGCGAGGCAGTACCACCTCTTACAAACGCCGGAGACTTTCAGCAGATCGGGGAGGCAGAGGCAAGAGAAGATCCCCAGGAGCAGCTCATCTGGGAGGGAGTCCCACGAAACACCTGTAAGACAAAAAACAAAAACAAAAAACAAAAACAAAAATAAAAAGTTTTCTTATCACCATTCTTCTTCCTTGCCAAGTGAACTGAGTCTTGCTAAGCATGCTAAGGGTTCACAATGGTTAGCTTAAAAGGGGGATTTAACACTAACTGAATTCTTCAGCCTCACCTTTGCTTTTCTGTCCAATCCAAGCACCTCACTTTCTCAGCAGTATGAGAAAGAACCAAGACTACTGGTCCTGTCCTTTTCCCCTTCATTGCCAGTCGGCTAGCCACGGGCAGGGACGTAAATGGTGGCACAGAATGAGGCCCTAGCCCATCAAGGTATCATGATGTTCTGGGTCACTAAGACAAGCATCCTTGCTCCCCAGGCTGTTATTCATTTCAAAATCAAATTGGTATGTAAGGCCCAACTGCTATGCTTTGAAGGCCTCGCAAGACATCCTCAAGGACAGGTCCTATCTACCATGATTTATTTATTTATTTACTTCCTCATTTCTCTAGGCCCCCCCCCCCCGCAGTCCACAAGTTTTGCAAACGACCCCCCACTCTGCTTTTTAACATTCTTTATATTTCCAGAAATAAGCACAAAGTCTAATCTCTCCATCCATTCATACATTTACTGAACATGTACTACATGCAAAGGTCTGTTCTAGGGATACAAAGATAAACACAGCATAGTCCTAATCTGCATTTGCCCAGAGTTTGAGAGGGATAATAAGGAATTTCAGTGAAGTACGGTGATAACCTACAACAGGGCCCAGGGTGTTCTGCAGTACATGGGAGTGCAGCGGCGGCAGGGAAGTCTCTCTAGAGATGGTGGCAGGATACAGGTGCAGGCTCTATCAATGCCTGTCCTTCTCAGTACGTAACAAAGTTAAAGGACTGACTGAGGCCATGAAAACTAAGGGTAGTGGGATAAAGGCAAATCACCCATGCTGACGGTGGTCCTCAACCTGGAGAGACAGCTGGAGGTTATACTGAGGGTCCTCAGTGTGACAACCTTTCTACCACAGCATTCCTCCAGAGTCAACGCAGGCAGAGGACAGAGGTTCTTAAATCAAGTTCCTGCCTGCTCCTCAAATCCAAAAAATGTTGAAAGACACTTCTTTCAAGTTTTCCTTCCTTAGTTCTTCATTCTTTGCTTCCTCCTGCATATATAGGGCATATTTTCGTATTTGATCTGATAAAAAAATTATACAGTTGCTAACATGTTCAGGCTTTACTATGATCTACAAAGATGATCCAAGTAAGTAGCCTCCGGGAGTTTGAGAATTATTGTACTGAGGGAGAAGCCCAACTTTGATTGGAGTCCCAGCAAGATTGCCCTGACTACTGTGAATTTAGGTAAGTTACTTAATCTCTCTGGGCCTCGATGTTCCATCTACAGGAATGAGAATAAATAGATTTATCTTGCAAAACCATGAAGATAAAATGATGTATGAGCAAGGATAAAATGATGCAGCAGAGAGCTAGTCAATCATTCTCACCTTTATTCCTCTCTTTCCCTCATTAAATCTGCATGTTTTCCTTTTATGACAATGTCTTCTTTTCAATACGTGCTTTAGTTTTTTACCAACAGGCGAAAATACAAGATCTGAAGAGAGTTGACAAGAGCTGCACAGTGTGATTCACCAAAATCTCATATCTGCCTCCTAAGTTTGAGATTCCTGGGGACAGACCCTGAGAACATGACTTCCAGTCGTTTCTTTGGGAAGCAATGGAAGGAAGAAAAGAAAAAAAATGGAGACATGGAAGAGAAGGAAGCTTACTCAAGGCATGTCAATAAGTAAGTTACTGTTATGGGCAGCTGGGATTCAAATCTTCTGGGGACTCTATGAGACTATCTGGAATTGCCCCATAGCTGTCCTGCCCAAGGGCATGGATGCTGGTGAGTTCATGAGGGCTATCAGTCTCTCTGCTGTTAACTCCCTAGCATTCCCTTCCAGAGAAAGCCCTCAAGCACAGAGTCACAATGCCAGAAAGCCTCTGGCATTACAGGAATGGTGAGCTTCATGGGGGCTGTGGACAGGGCGCCAAGAGGGTCCACTGAAGATGGGTGGGAAAGGAAATTAAGAAAGCTTGCTGAGAAATGCAAGGCAGGTAAGATAAAAAATACAAAATACAAAATAAAATACAAGTTTGGTGCTTTTAATTTTATTGTAAAGATGTAAGAAAAAAGGAAAAAACAGAAGAGCAATAGGAAACAGTTAATTAAAACTGCTAGGAAGAAAATGGAGCCAGAAAGATGAAGGTAGAGCTAGCACACCCAGGCAATGAAGCTGAGCACACAAGAGAACAATCTGGAGTTAGGAGGCTTTGTGCTGCAACTTCTGTCTCCAACTGCCTGCTCCTCCCCCTCCTCCTCCAGACTTCAGCTCAAACAGCTCTTGCTCAGAGAAGCATTCCCAGGTCACCAACAAAGCCCTACGCCCAGGCTTCCACATTCAGCACCTCACACAATGTCCGACACATAAATGGCACTTGATAAGTATTTATGAAATACAATATACCTTTTATTCCCCTTTCATCTGCCGCAGTCTGGCTGGGCACAAAATAACCGAGCCACCATGAAGCACTTGTAGGTTCAAACAGCAACTCCTTTATTGCCCGAACTCCTGCAAACGCCACCCACAGGGCCCTTCCAGGAACACCACACACCAACTGGAACTCCCTCCACTTGAACCTCACCAAGCAATGCGAACTCTCCAGGAGTCCCCGAGAGAGAGCTCAACTGGGAACTCCTCAATGGGCACCCAGGGCAGCAGGAGCCGCCATATTGCCAGACAGCAGGGGTCCATATACAACTGAATAGACAGCCGGTTTCAATCCAGCATCATCCAGTCACAGCAATTATACACAGCTTAACTTAATTATCAACATCTTAATGGCTAGCTGGCATCACCTCTCAACCACTCTTTCTGGTAATATGCCAGGCACCAGGCTGTGGCTCTCAACATTCATCCAAGCTATAAATGTGTTAATTTTCTTAATGTGATTGGTTAATCTTCATTAACCAATAAATACATGCCCAGTGCCTAAAGCCCAACACTGAATATTAGAAACTGCCTAACTGGTATTTCACAAAGGAATGATCAATACTCCAAAGAATGCTGGCTTTAATTTAAATATAAGCCTGTTAAGACCAGTTTCCTCATTTGTAAAATGATAAGGTTGACCTGTGACTCCTCTTTCAAAGACGTGACTGTGCTGGGAGCTAGTTAGGAATCACAGCTCCTGCCCAGTGGCCTCATTAGGAGATGAACTAATAAACAAAAACATAACCTAACAATTAAAACTGCCACCTACTGGAAGCCCTAAAAAGTCTCAGGCATTTATGGAAGAACAGTGATGCAATCTTTGGGGCAACCTGTGTATGATCATCTGTGGGGAAATTTATCTTAGTGGGGTTAAATAACTTCACCAAGGTAACAACAACTCTTAGAGGGCAGAGGCAAGAAACTTGGGTTTCCAAACTACCCTACCTCACAGTGAGGTGCAGTCACAAGAAGTGGGAAGCCTGATGACCTGCCAGGTGGCAGAGGCCCTGTAGGTGGAGGTATAGTACCTGCAAAGTACCCAACTAGTGCATGGCAGAGTGGGAATTCAAACCCAGGTCTGACTTTGAAACATGGACCCTTTCTACCTCCTTCATACTCTTAAGAGTTTATGTTTTCCTATTGTGAACAGTACTTGATTTATTCTAAAAGTTTAGCAAAGGTGAGAATTAAATTATGACTTGCTATGGAAAAAGAAATCAATCAGGGCTAGCAAGAGATCAGTGGAGGGAGAGGGAGCAAAACGCGAAGATGCTGAGAGTTCCAAAGGGTTTGCCACCGAATGGAAGAAGCAACAGCTCAGGACATAGAGTCTGAGCTAAAAGCCAAGCATCCAGGGCTCCACTCAGCTGACCACAGAGCATAATTCACAGGGCCCCTGTGTTGGGGTGCAACAGCCTGGAACTGGCTGCTGTCTGAGCAGACAGGCAGAAGTTTGTCTTCAGTAGCTGTTCTAATGGCTGGCATCCAGGATGTGATATGCTTAATCTAATTTTACTTCCCATATTTAATTCTCAAAACATCAGCCATCTGTTTCCTGGATTCCTGACTACATCGCGGCCTGGTCTGTTTGCTGAGAGAGGAAGGGAAAATCTAGGTCTCTTCTCCACTCGCTTCTGCTTAACCCACTGAAGCTACGTACTGATTAAAGCTGTACACAATGATAAAGATTCCAATCTTAAAAGACATGGACAACAGCAAAACATGCTTCCCAGCCAGACCAGGGCAAAAACTGGCCAGAGCAGAGAGCTTGCTGATCACCCTCACCCACCACTTTCAAACTTCTCCTCAGGCACAGACCCAGCTTCCCATACCTCTGTAACCCATCATCTTCCATGTCTCCTCTGGAAAGAGGGAGGGACTTATAGTTTTCCTTCCTTTTTTTGGTGGTGCTGGGGATTGAACCCAGGGCCTTATGCATGTAAAACAAGCACTCTATCAACTGAGCTATATCCCCAGCCCTATAGGAGAGTTTTCTATGCATTTGATCTGTGCAATATAGTTAACATCTCTTACTTGAACTATATTTTTCTCAGAATGTCTCCTACACTCAGATTCAAACAGAAAATTCAAAGTAATCTTAACCATCTCCCAAATTTCAACTTTAAAAAAAAGTTGCTTCTCTCTTGAAGGCATCAATAAACAAATTATACTTGCAAGAGAAGCACGCATCCTGATRCTCATGGCTACTGTGTTTTTTAAAGGGAGGGGGGTTCACTTAATGATTGCTTTTCTGCCTTGTTTTAAGTAGCAACACCCCATGCTTCCATTCTAGGGAACTACACACAGATTCTGCCATCCTGGATAAGCTCTCCTTCCTCTTCCCACAAACAATGAAGAGAAAATTAGATTGTGCTAGCTTTTGACATTTTTGGTGTTCTTATTTTTTGGCTAGATGGGCCAAAAAGCAAAACTGAAAAACTAAACAGGGGTCCCCAGTGCACACCTTGGCCCACAACCCTTTATTTCTATGAAAAGCTTGCTCAATCCTGGGGGATGCAAGGAGTTACAAAGAAACAGTAGAAACTAAGATTTGGGGACTCAGGTACAAAATAGAAGCTCTGAGAGCAGGATCTTTTATTTATGTACATGTCTTTATTCCCAATTTCTATAGTGATGCTTGATAAATATTTGCTGAATGAATGGAAAACAGAAAACAAAGCAAGATGACTTGAAGGGTTCCATAAAAAGTCTCCTATGTAACTACAATTTGGGAACTGTTGACTGAGACTCATTGATAAGTAGTGAAATCAACTTAGTAAGTTTAACTAGTATTTTCTTTCATTAAAGAATGGAATAGAACAGAATAGAACAGAATAGAAAATATCTTGGTAAGGAGGTATATAGTTTGGTGAAACTCTCATTTCATGTAAACACCCAGGATTGCAATATACTTCTTCTTGGTTAAAAACAAAAAGTTGGGGATGACCATTTGCCCTGGGGTATTGAAACACAGATTCCCAGGCTCAAGGACTTCTTGATTCATAATCTTAGGAATTTTGCACTTTGAACCAGTTCCCTTGAGGATTCTGATATACTCTGAACTTTAGAGTCTCCAAACTAAGAACCTTTGGAGGGTCTGGAATTTCGAGCAGTCTAACAGCCATGGAAGAGCTGAGCCACAAATTAGTTCAACCACATTTTCATGGTCATCACCTGTTTAAAGGCCAGGAAAAGGCATTTAATAAGCATAAATAAAATGTGACTGTCATCTTCTCACTTATAACTGGCCTCATTGCTGGGCTGTTTCTCCATAACTCTTTTCATACACGGGCCCCCAAGGGCTAACCAGACCTGTTCTGGCACAAGCTGGCCACATAACTTTAATCTTTGAAAATAAACAGATGAAGAGGATTTAATTGCCAGATGTGAGGCTGGAATGGGGCCTGCAAAAAGACAATGCTTAGCAAAGAACTAACAAAAACTTAAACTCTGGACCAGTCATCAGATCTCTATGTACAGCAGGTGTGGCCTTTCCTACCCTAATCCTGGCAGAGCTATTAGCCACCTGTCCTGACAACTGCAGACAAAACTCCCTGGAATGAGGATCCAGCTACACTGGAGGCCTAAGCTTCCAGAGGCCATGAGGAATCCTCTACACCAGCTGTCCCTCACTCTGTATCACTGGGCCCACTCCCCCAACCCATCCATCGCAACTGACCAATCCACATGGAAGTCCATGTACATACAAATGTGTCCTGTTGCCTCCCCTGTTTCTCTCAGGTGATACCAAACATAAGTCAGTTTGTTCTCTTTCACTTCAGACATATATTTATTTAGTCGATTTTAAAATCTAGACTCCCTGATCAGACAATTTTCAGCTCCTCTCTTTCCTTGGAAGCTCCATTTTTGCTGAGGGGAAAGAGGACTGCCCACAACAACCCGATGGAAATTAAGTTACTTTTGCATAAGGGGTTCCCTCTCTCTGGCTCTCCAGAACACTCACTGTTTGAGCTACTCATCTGCAGCTGGTGTTAGCCACAGCCACATATTGCCRTGTATAAGTTGCTTTTATTTATTTTCTTTTCTCCTTGTTTGAAATTCCTAGGAGATAGCATCATCCTTTATACTTCTGTCTGGTTTCAGTGACTTGCTTAAATATATTTTTAGGAGTTGGAGTCGTGGTAGAGCTCAGTGGTAGAGCGCTTGCCTAGCACATGTTAAGACACTGGAGTTCGATCCTCAGGACAGCATAAAAATAAGTAAATAAAGTTATTATGTCCATCTACAACTATATTTTTAAAATGTCTTTTTATTTATATTTGTATATATGAATGTGGAATGACATATAGCAATCAAATTGCATTGGATAAGTTGATCAAAATATGTTCATCTTAGCAGAAAGTATCTTTCACCATGTTTGGTCAGTTAAGCACCAAATTGCTAGTGCTACATTGCAGACACTAAAAATAGCATGTGACATTAAATTTTAAAGATAAAAAGTCTATATTTCTAGGATCAGACTAACAGTATAATGGTTAAAAACCAAAAACAGTCTCTCAAATAGGTGTCAGAAATTTTGGTGACTAATAGTAACTGGGTTTACTTATGGAGCACTATGTGTCAGCAGCATACAAAGAGCTTTATTTATGTGCAGCCTCAGTCTTCACAGCAACCTAGGAAGTGGGAATTATTATTCCATTTCACAGGCCTTGAAACTATAACTCAGAGAGTTCCAACAGCTTTCCAAGGCGGGTAAACAGCAAAATAAGGATTCAAATTCAGATTTACCTGACCTCATCACAACCTTCTACCGTCTCTCCCAATAACTCGAATTCTTGGTATGGATTTTCATGCCATAAGTTGGACAAGGCTCTCTTTTCTAAAGAAAGGGTTGAGGAAACAGATTTTTTTAAAGCAAACAAGCAATCAACTCATCAACTTTTCTGCAAACAAAGCCACACGGGAGAACTTAGAGATGTACTTATTTACCTTGGCTCTTATTTCTTTAATCTGTCTTCTCCATCATCACTAACCCAATTTAGACTCTAATCACCTCTTCCACAGATAATTCAACAGCCTCCTGATTCTACTGTCTCTAATGTCAGAATATATCCAGAATCTGATTACTGCTGATCCTCCCCCACACATCTTGACTTTTATCCTCCATCCCAGGCAGTTTAGTCTGAGCAAACCAGAGTTTTTTCAAAAGGTTCCACAGGGTTGCATCACAGCTCTGCTCAACACCACCTCTAGCCTCTCCTCCCCCTCTGATTTCCTTTCCCACTGTTGGTATAAGGCTTCCTTCTTGTTCCTTGGGCAAACATGTCATCCATTTCTCCAGGATCTTGCAAGAGTTGTTCCTTTTACCTGGGGCTCTTTCCTCCAAGATATTTGCATGGCATAGTCCCTCACCTCCTTTATGCCTTTGCTTAAAGCCACTGTCCAACTGAGGCTTTCCCTCAGTCTCCTATTTAAAACTGCAATCTACCTTCCACCCCTGGGACTTCCACTCCCACCTGGCTTGCTCTAATTTCTGTTTTTAGGCATCATTCTTATCACTTTCTAACAATACTGCATGAAATACCATATTTATTATGTTTATTGTGTTCCCTCACTACAATGAATGTTCCACAAGGGTAGGAATGTTTGCTCCGTGTTATATCCTCAGCACCGAGAACAATGCTAAGCACATAGTAGATGCTTAGCAAATATTGCTGAATTAATGTTTTAAATTATTTATTAGCAAGCAAAATTCATTACCTCCAGGTCAATGTTCTATGTTTACCCCATGGCTTTGAGTACTCCAGGGYTCAGGGTTCTGTCCACCTTGAGGCATTCATTCACTTGCTTAAGAAACCAGGAAATGGGGAGGTACTAAAAAGAGAATAAGCTGAGCACAGGGGTGAAAGTCTGTAAGCTATTAAGCAGCTGGGGAGGCTGAAGCTGGAGGATCACAAGTTCAAAGCCCAGGCTCAGTAATTTAGTGAGGCCCTAAGCAACGTTGCGAGAACCTGTCTCATTAAAATAAAAAATAGGCTGGGTATGGTGGTACATGCCTATAATCCTAGCTGCTCCAGAGGCTGAGACAGGAGGATCGCAAGTTCARAGGCAGCTTCAGCAACTTAGTGAGGCGCTAAGAAACTTAGTGAGACCCTGTTTCAAAATAAATACAGCTGGTGATGTGGCTCAGTGATTAAGTGCCCCTGGGTTCAATCCCTGATACCAAAAGTCAATCAATCAATAAGTAGAATAATATACGGTGATTTCTCTTTTGGTCAATCCATTCCAACTCTGGGGAATGGACCTGGGGAAAAGAAGGTGGAAATCATGAGTCCATAACAATAATTCAGTCAAAATGAGGAGAGCTTGAGAAATATTTACTAGACAAGAAGGAAAGCTACAAAGATTGATTAGACATTGGGAAAGGAGAAAATCAGGTTTCATCTTCTGTATTGGGTGACTGAAAGGATAATGCCACAGTAATGGAGATGAACATCCCAGGAGAAGCCCATTTGGGCGTGGACCTGGGAGACAAGTTTCCACCACTTTGAATAACATTCATTTTAGCAATCTATTGACAAATAGCTAATGTGATTAAGGCAGAAAGCTTAATGAAGTAAAAAGCAGCAATTATAAACAAAAGGGATCCTAAAAGAAGATCATTGTTTATGTTCCCATTTATCAGTGGTACTGAGCTGGACTTTGGGCAGGCAGATGCCCTTCTAAGGAAAAAGGCAGCAAAGTCTTTTCATGGGTTAAAAGTTTCAAGTAGATTGTGCATTAGAAGACTTAGAGACTTAGAAAGATTTCAGAAGATTTTAATAAGCACTGGTCCCACTTTATTGGAAAATAACTTTTAATTAAGTAATTCTGAAAGAAAAATTTAAAAGATCCCCCAGCGAAGGGTTACCAACAAAACAATCCAATCTACCCCCTATATAACTGACAGTTTTCCCCTCATCTCTTACCKGGGAAGTTCTCTCGATTGAGTTTAGGCCTGCGGATGATCACAAAGTCTTTGTCACTCCCTTTGCTTTTCAGCCATTTTCGTGTGGGGCTCTGAGGGTGGCCCAGGTTAGAGAGCAGTTCCTGGGGGATGTTCTCACTGTCCACCTCCTCCTTCTCTAGGGCGGAGACCCCCATGCCTGACAGCAGTTCAGAAGTCTTGCTAGAATCCCATCCCTACGTGAAGCTGGTGGTAACGTTGCTACTCTGGTCCGGAATCTCCTGGAGGTGCTTCCTGCAGAAGGGCACAATACCCCATTCCTTTTGAAAGCACACCCCTAAAAAAGTCCAAGGTAGGCATGCAAGAAGTAAAAAATTATGGGTTGTAGACAACTTTCAAAGCAGCTAAAAGAATTGCATTTGTTACGTGCCTTCAGCGAGTTCCCAAGAATGAAAGGAAAAAGGGGGTGGGGGTGGGGGAGAGATCCAAAAGGAGTTTTGATTTAGGATCCCGTACAAGGCCTCAAGAATTTCTTCCCGTGGAGCGAACAAGGGGAGAGGAAGAGCAATGTGAGTGAATGAAAATGGTAGGAGAAAAACCCATTTAGAGACGCCAAATAAAACTGCACGCTGATCCTCGCTCTAAAACATCCATCCATCCATTTCCCCCCAAAAGGTGCTCTAGGCAACAATACAGCATTAGTAACAATCTTAGCAAAAGTAGCAACATGCGCGGCCTAAAAGAATTGAGACGGTCCATTCATGCTCTGCCCTCTTCTGCAGTCGACTTACCTGTGCATGGCGTCCACAGGTTCRGGAGTTTTAAATACCTGCATTAATTGCACAACTGCCCGCCTCCCAGATTCCCGCTTTGGCGCGCGACAGCTCCCAGCGTGAGGTTCTAGCCCCCAGCAGCCAGACCCGCGCACTCTAGCAACGTTCCATTCCTGCAGCGCGCGCAGGGCTCTCCTGCCCGCTTTCCACCGCGGCCTCCGCGGCCCCGCAGCCTGCTGGGAATTGTAGTTCTTGGCCTATCTCGCAGTCCGACGAACTCTCTCCGACTTCCTTCCCTTGAGATTTTCCCCGCCTTGCAGATACCCACAATCCCCCGCGGAGCAGGGCAGGAAAACACCCAGAGTAGGCGGGGAAACGGAAGTGGGCGGAGCTCCGACTGACTGGGAAATGTCAGCTGCTTGACTGTGGACGAGTTTTCCTTTCCCGGGAATCCGAAGGCCTTCTGGTGACCGCCACCGCCGTCGCCTGTGCTCGTGGGTCTCAGACCCTGGACGGCTGTGGCGGACGTGGAGCTTCCCTGTCTTTTCCAGACGCTGTCTGGCGAGATCGGACGGTGAGCCTTAGTGGGAGCTGTGAGGCGCGATGGGGTCTGGGGTCCGGGCGAGCACAGGTAGAGATAAAGGGGGTCCCTCGAAGTCTCTGAACGGCCGCTGTCGCGAGGCGCACCTCCCTGGCCTGAATGGAGGCAGCAGCCAGGCCCGCCGATCGGTCAGGTGAGAAACTGCGAGCCGCCGTGTCACACCTGACAGTCCCTTTGCCAGGAAGCTTGTTTCTCCACCAGGAAGATCCTTACCTCATCTATAAAATAGGCACCGCCACAGCGACGCAGCTCTCACGGGCTTGGAGTGAGGATCACTTCAGATAACGTGTGTGAAAGCCTTGTGTAAACTAAAGCGCAGGTGAACTAGAAGCGGTGGTTTAATTTTAGGGGAGCCAGACACCACAATGGTTCCTGTGTGGGGTGGGAAAGCTGGGTATCACCTTAAAGGCTTGACCAGCCTCATAAATTCTAGCAAGGGAACAAATAAGATTACGGTGTGAATGCAAAGGGCTGTGCGAAGCTGAGAGCCACTGGAAAGCTATTCGGGTGCTCTGGCTCCACCGGCTGCGTGCATTTGCGTCGCAGCTTAAAAGCAAGCTGCATTTAGAATATCTCTGAGTAGAGGAGGTTGGGGGTGGTTAGAGTAGGGAGCTTGTGGTATTTCAGGTAGGATGACCATGCGAAATTCATTGTGCACACTGGATTATAACCGTGACCCCGGGAAAACAGTGAGAGAGGAAAAGGGGATAAATCCCAAGCCTAATAAAAAATAAAGAGCATTTATAAGGTTCAGAAGTAAGCAAGCCAGCTTCATTACAAACGTATTAGAATATTAGTTCATATGCTGTATGACATAACGCTGTGTTTCTTTGAAGAAGAAGCGGGGGGAGAACCTTCCTTTCTCAGGTATGTGCTTGTTTCAAGCTTGATCCTTGGCTTGAAAATTAACTGTTACCTCTCCATAGAGGAAGAAATTCTGACACTTTTTGTTTTTGAAAGTAGGTGAGATTGGTGTAAAGAGAAGATCTGTTCACAAATTGATGTTAATTGAAACGATATGAAGAATACTGAGCTCATTGTTAAGAATTCATTAAATAACGTTACTATATGGAAAATATTTTAAAATGCAACCTTCTTTTTTTTGACATAGAGTAACCTGTATATTACTTTGGAGAAAGCAGTCACCTTAGTTTAACTCTATCTACATCCTTTCCCTTAAGATTGCCACTCACTAGGTAAATGTTTTAGCAAAAACATAAAATCAAACAACCCCCCCCCAAAAAAAAAACCCCACACAAAACCATATAATAAATACATGTACAAATCCATACACACACACCCATATGTTCARAAAGAGCTAGAATATGTGTGATACCTGAATTAGTGGACACTAAGTCCTTTCTAGGGCTCAAGGTAGAGCCTGTTAACTTTGAAAATTAGAATTCATTTTGCCTTGGTAACAAATATTTAAACTTGTTAGTGTGTGAGAGAGAGAGAGAGAGAGAGAGAGAGAGAGAGAGAGAGAGAGAGAGAGAGAGAGAGTGTGTGTGTGTGTGTGTGTGTGTGTKATTGATTCCCTCTAATTGTGGTCTTAATAAGTAAAAGTTTARATAGGTACACATGACTTTTTAAACATACATTAATTGTGTTGATTTGAAGATTTGAAATTGCTAGCTACATAGAGACAGCTGTCTGATCCCTTTTTTTAAAGTATTGCATTGTGATTATTACTAATGAATCATATTTTAGTTTCCTGATTAATCTTGTTAGTTTAATCTTATTTGGCATACTGCATATACCATATTTCTAGTATTAGAATTGATAGATCAGTATCCAAAAGAGTTACATTTTTTATAACTGCAAATGATATTAGGGTAAGTAAAAGTTTCCAATACTCTGGAAACTTCAGATAGAATTAAAAGTTACTTTGTAAATCAGAAAACTATTTATCATGTAACATCAGATGCTTGGAAACAGCAAAGTGATATCATTTATGCATAGTCAAAATCACAGCATGGTTACAAATTGATCAATATTAGTAGGCCTTAGGAGGGGCCTAAAAGGACTGGCAACCATAAATAATTGCTAGYATAAATTACTAGTAGTTGTTAGTTTCAGTTCTGATTATCAATTATTATAAAAGAGATTTCATTTAAGTAGAAGAATGATGTGCTTTTACCTTAATGCCATCATAGCATGAAGTGAATTTTAAAATTCGTTTAGTTTTATTCTCACATTAGTTTCAGGCACCAAAGACTGAGGGAAATTACAAAGCAAAAGTTTTCACCTGTCAAATTTCAAAAAGATCCTTTTCCCTTGATTAGTTTTAAACTAGACCTTTAGATATTTTCAATTTAATGCTGTGTGATGGACAGATACTGGGGAAAGAACAAAARGGTTCTCCTTTGCTCTATTTTCTTTTCTACTTTTCCTGTGTAGATGAGACATATATTTCTATAAATCAATTAAAGTTACAATACCTGAAAAGTAAAAAGTTGTACCTTAAACAAGATTTTCTTAGCATTTTGTCTTGTATATCTAAAAGAATAATTAATAGGAGAATGATTTTTTAATTTGTCCACTAGAAACCTGAACTAAAGAAGTTATTCAAACAATTTAAATTACAGAAAGAAAGAATATCTTGATTGATTGAAGATGAGACATGTAATTGCCATCCAAGCTGGATTGCAATCCAAGTCAGGATGCCTCTGGCTTTGCTACTTACTGGCTATGGGAACTTGGGCAAAGTACTTATTCATTCTGTGCCATTTTTCCCTTTATTAAGCAAGGATACCATCCTTTCTTACTAGATTGTGAAATTTTGTTGGATTAAGTAAGTGCTAGCACCATGCTTTGAATCTGGCAGACACATACTAAATGTCAGTGCTTCCTTTTTTAAAAATTAYTTTGTTATTAAGAAGGATTCTAAGGTTTATTATGTATTGAAGTAAGTCTATAATTTATATACCTGGAATCTTAAGAATTTAAGTTTTTGCTTTTCTTACCTACCTACCTGGTTGCTGTCTTCCCTTTCATGCCTTGCTGAAGGTGAAGCAAATTATAATGTGTCTCTCTTTATAAGTTGCTTGGAGGGGCTCTTTACACTTTGGAATTCAGGTTACTTGGTTGGTTTGCCCACTAAGCTCTTAGATGGTTTCAAAACATACTATGACTTTTTCTCATTTTTAGAATGATGATGATAGTCTATTATGGTATTCTACATCCTAAAATGAACTTTCTCAAAACTCAAGATTTAAATATGAGAATAATGATTATGTTAAGCAAGACTTAAAGTTTCATTGGCAGTAGAGAATTGTTGACATTATTATTCACTTCTAGTTCTGATTCTTTTTATTTTTCATTATTAGGATCTTGAGGCATCTCAAGATCATTATTATTCATTGTCTGAGTAAAGATACCTATTTAACACTGAGTCTGATGAATCATTAGATTCATTCATTCAAATCTGAGTTTTTTTCATTCAGTTTCAGAATCTTTGGTTTATTTTTTTTCTAATTTGTTATAGCAGAATGCAATTCAATTCATTTTACACAAATAGAGCACATTTTTTCGTGTCTGGTTGTGCACAAAGTGGAGTCACATTATTTGTGTTTTCATACATGTACTTAGAGTAATGATGTCTGTTTCATTCCACCGTCATTCCTACCCCCATGCTCCCTCCCTTTCCCTCCCTTCCCTTTGTTCTATCTGAAGTTCATCTGTTCCTCCCATGCTCCCCACTCCACCATCCCCATTCTGAATCAGCATCCTTATATCAGAGAAAACATTCCACATTTTTTTTTGAGGGGGGATTGGTTTACTTCATCTAGCATAATATTCTCCAATTCCATCCATTTACCTGAAAATGCCATGATTTTATTCTCTTTTAATGATGAGTAACATTCCATTGTGTATATATACCACATATTCTTAATCCATTCATCTACTGAAGGGTATCTAGGTTAGTTCCACAATTTAGCTATTGTGAATTGTGCTGTTATAAACATTGATGTGGCTGTATCCCTGTGGTATGCTGTTTTTAAGTCCTTTGGGTATAAACCCAGGAGAGGGATAGCTGGGTCAAATGGTGGTTCCATTCCCAGTTTTCCAAGGAATCTCCATACTGCTTTCCATATTGGCTGCACCAATTTGCAGTCCTAACAGCAATATAAGTGCACCTTTTTCCCCACATCCTCACCAACACTTCTTGTTGTTTGTATGCAGAATAACTGCCATTCTGACTGGAGTGAGATGAAATCTTAAAGTAGTTTTGATTTGCATTTCTCTAATTGCTAGAGATGTTGAACTTTTTTTTCATATATTTGTTGATTGATTGTATAACATCTTCTGAGAAGTGTCTGTTCTGTTCCTTGGTCCATTTATTGCTTTGGTTATTTGGGATGTTAAGATTTTTGACTTCTTTATATATCCTAGAGATTAGTGCTCTATCTGATGTGCATGTGGTAAAAATTTGCTCCCATTCTGTAGGCTCTCTATTCACTTGACTAATTTTTTATTTTGTTGAGAAGAAGCTTTTTAGTCTGAATCCATCCCATTTATTGATTCTTAATTTTAATTCTTGTGCTATAGAAGCCTTTTTTGTTTTCTTCTTTTTTTGGCTTTAAAAACTTTTTAATTTGTTCTACTTAGTTATACAAGTAGACAGTCAAATGCAATTAGACATCAGAATGCATTTCAATTCACTGTACAAAGATGGAATGCAACAATTCAATTCTTTGGTTGTACCTGGTGTAGTGATGCACCATTTGTGTAATTATATCTGTACCTGGGGTAATGATGTCCCATTTCATTCCACCATCTTTCCTATCCCCATAATCCCTTCACACTGTCTCCTTTGCCCAATCTAAAATTCTTTCATTCTTTTTATGGTCCCTCTTTCATCATAGATCAACATCCATTAATCAGAGAAAACACTTGGCCTTTAGATTTTTGGGATTGGCTTACTTTTCTTAGCATAATATTCTCAAGCTTCATCCATTTAACTGCAAATG